TGAAATGGAAAGAAGCAGAGGGGAGGTTGACTTAGCTGATTGGTATGGAAACAGTTGGGCCAAGAGCCAGAAAATTTTCTTTGTAGCAGTATGGCTGGTTTTACTTTGAGAAGCTCTGTTGGTTTGCTTTGTAGCATTCAGTTTGCTGAGATGGATGTCATTGTGTACATGAGGTTTTCACAGGTAAAAGCAATGGTGAGATAAGTCAGTATGGCTGGGGCCATGTGTGAAGGTGTGGTATATGACTGATGGATACTGCATTTTTAACTTTGAATGCTAACCCCTGAAATCTAGCTTTTAAAAAGTGATTATTTTTGTAAACCTTTGACAGCTTATGAAGAGTGACATCTTTCCTTGTAAGCATCAAGACAGACATAAGAAAGAGGGACAGTTGGCAATTTTAAAAGGAGCAATGACCAAATGACCAATTAAAATCCAGTGTTAGAGTGGTCGAGTCCATGTCCTTCCACTGCTGTGCAAACACCCAAGAGAGGCCCTGACGTTCTGATGACCATTCATTGTCCTAGATGCTACACCTTTGCAATGCCTGAGGAGTCCAGCTGTTATCTGCAAGCTCAGAGGCTCCCTGGGCCCTGAGATGTCTCACCCCAGGCCCTGGGATCATTCTGGAATTTACAGGTTTCCCTTCCCTTGAGAAGTAAGGTATGGAGTTTAAGACCAAACAGGCCATCACGCCTTTCCAACCTCATGAAGGGAGTCCTCGTATTTTCCAGGGACACAAGGATCCCATGTGGAAGGGCACTGTCACAGCCTATGGCCCATCTATCAGAGGCACACACAGCACTTCTCAGCCACTCCTGCCACATTTTGGGGCCTTCCCTGGGGTCCACTGGATCCACACCACAGGTTTGGGGTAGACAAAGAAGATTAATGAAGGGCTTCTTCTCTCTCCACAGAGATTCTAAATTGTCATGGTTCTTTCATTTTTATTAGGACTTAACATTTCCTTAAAATAAACCATCCTCACAAACAAAAACTCCTTTGCTAATCTTCACTCTTTGTTTTGAGGAAAGCCAATTTCTCTTCTATCATGGTTTTCAGCATCAGCCTTAAGAAAGTGAAGCATCCATTGGAAAAAAAAAAGTGGGGTGTATGCATGTGGTTTGATTCCAGATTGCTTTTGGGTTTAAGTGGTATCAAATTTCAGTATATTTCTGTCTTATGTTAAAGAAATATATTACAAAATGTCAGTGAGCAATAATGTCAGCTGTCGAGCACTAGATTTATTTTTGCAGGATATGGAGTGCAATGAACTGAGTCAATATGGCAAGGTGTATGTGATCTGTGGGAGTTACGCCATTTAACATAGGAAATGCTCAGGACTCTCTCTGCACTCCAGCTCCTACTGTACTGTTAGAAGATGCAGAATTCTGCTAGCTCAGAGAGTGTGACCACACAGCCATGCAGAACAACTATGAAGCAAGCAGCTGGGTCTATTGTAATGGAGAACATTTCTTTGAGGTTTAAACCTTTTACTTCTTAGATGCATTTGAATTCTTAATACAAATGCCCTAGCAATTTGAGAATCTCTTCATGTTAATTGTGTTTAAAATGTCTTTAAATATAAAAAGCAATGAAAGAGATAACTATTTGTTTTGAAGGTCAAATATTATTTTTGACTTAAATAGCTTTATAATAATTTTTCTCTAGATAGTTCAAAACTTTTGAAAAATGATATGAAACTTTCATTAAGATCTCTTTTTCCTATGTTTGTTGTATACAGGAAATATAAAATAAAATTTCTTTATAAAAATGTCTTCTCTGATTGATTCCTAAAGACTCATCTTATTTTTGGCACAGGTACATGGATTGTCTACTGGTGTGTTCAGTAGAATGCTGGACCCCCTGCCCCAGCTTACATGTTGGTGGTTTGTGTAGAGAGCCTTTTGTCTGATGTATTCTTTGGAAGTTTGGGCTCTTTGACTGTAGGGTTAAGTTCAACTCTCCATCCCCCAGATCCCAAGAAAGACCTCTAGGGATTGGAAAGATTGGAAGAAAGGGAAACATTTGTAGAATCACTCAATCTTCACCTCACCTCAGCAAAATCTTCAACAGCTTGTGCATGTTTTTGTGCTTAAAGTATATACACTAGGGAGTTCCTTCGTGATAACTCTATGAATAAAAATGCAGAAATGGTGCAGTGCTGGTGCCTAACCTTTTATTACGATTTCCCAGGAAACTGACACAATTTTTGAGGATTGGTCTCTAGGGAATTAGGTTGTAAAGTGCCTCCCTGCTCAAGGTAAGTTTTCAACTTTGAACATCATCTCTACAAATGAGTTTCACTATAGTATTATTTGTTGTTGAAATGTTCAATTTTTTTATGTTTTGTTTATTTTGAGGAACAGAAATGGAGTGATGAGGACTTTTGTTTTTCAACCAGTTCTTTATGTTCCTGGATCCTAAAATTTGCAGACCAGTATTTCCATGTGGTGGACCCTTCTCCTTGTCCTCACCCTGAAGCATCACTGTCACCTGGGAACTTGCTGGTAAGGTGAGTTTTCAGGCCTTATCGCAGACTTATTTAATCAGAAATTCTGTGGGTAGGGCCTTAGCAAGCCCTCCATGTGTGATCCTGATCTTGTTCACATTTGAGAACAACTGCCTTGGACTTTTAGTAAGAAAACTTCTATATGAATTAATTTCAAGAGCATTTGTTTCTGACCCCCAAACATCTTGTTTGTCCTCACTGGTCCCCCACTTCCCCTCCCTATCCCATGGAAATGGGTCAATTTTCCCAAAGCTTCATGCCTTTCAACTGTTCATGTCCTTAACCACCCATTGATCTCCTTGCAGAGGACTAGCCTGTCCTCATCAATTTGCACCACTTTACTTCCTATTATACTTCTGTGTTGAACTTGGTCTGCTCAACAATGCTTACCAAGGATTCTCCAGCACTGAAGTGCATTCCATAGCAGGGTTCAGTTCAGTAATTCCAAGAATTAGAGGACAAGTCTCAGTGCATAAATCTGCATATGCCCTTTCCTGTCTCTTCTATTTCCTTGACTAGGTATCTTTCTTCATCCTTAACATCTCGTCCTCATCATCATGTTTCTTTCTTTCTACAAAAGTGCCAAGTACCCATGTCTTGATTCTTTCTATCAGAAAACTACCAGATCTTAGCATTTCAAATGACTTCTAGGAGAAGCTGACATACAGAGAATGGTTTCACTAGAAACTGCCTTTGAGTTAAGCTCACAAAACACTGTATTGGCTTCTCACAAGTTATCATTATGCTCCACACAGCTGAGTGAACTTTCTTCATTTTCTTGTAGGACCTAAAAAAAAGTATTCTGGCAAGAGCTCTTCCCATCCACTTGCTCCCAGAGGCTAGTCTTGACCTGGGCTAAACTTAAGAGGGACAGACCTGAAGATTAGATTCTAAACCAGGCAGCACCAATTACTTGCCCTACCCCTGAATACAACTGAAAGGCTATCCTGAAAGTTAACAGATTTTTATTGAACCATCGTAGAATAAGGCTACAGAGACCAGAAAATGGGGAGCCAAATCAGATTCTCAGCCCACACATGATTTTGCCAGTTTTTAAGTTGACTACAGAACCATGCTAACTTGTCAGTTATAAGTGCCAGTGGTCCTCATTCTCATTTCAAGATTTTCATCTTCCCTCTCTGTGGTATTTACCCAAATGACACCCAGGCTGGGCAGGATCCTGACAGATTTTTCAGGATCAAGCACAGGGGCAAGTCAGTGCATAATGATCAAGTCCTTGGTTCTATGCTGTCCTTAGCAGTACAGGTTCTTAGCAGAATAAAGGCGTAGAAATAACTAGAAAGCAAAGAGAATGAGAATATGTAGATTATCCCAGGAAACAGTCATTAAGAGTTATGGTACAGTTGCCTCAAGCTGTATTCCTAAAGCCTTCAACCTCACCATAGGATTTCTTCTCACCTTTCTGATAGAGTATATTAAATAACCTCTATAAGTCAGACACATGATCCACCACCTCTAAGATGAGTTATGTAGTCTTATCCCCATTTCACATGACTGATGATGCTGAAACTGAAGAGTTAAGACAAGTTACATAGCTGATCCATGGCCAAGCTCAAGTTGAAATCCAAGTTTGGGTGACCTTAGAGGCTGTGATTTCTACTTCACATTGACTGGGTAGTATTTAGCTGCTGGTGGGCTTTACCCTGGGGTGCAGGGGAGGGGAGTGTTTATATCATTTCTATTTATTTCAGGTCAATTACGATTTGTCCTTTCAAAATACCCTCCACAGTATAACTGCTTTATTTTAGAGAAGGCTAATTAAGCTTTGAACACCTGGGAACTTGGTAGAACTACAAGGTCTCTTTTTAGTCTTTGGTGACAGTTACCTTTTTTCCCCTCCTAAGCACTAACTTTAGTACTTCTAATAATTCTAAATACTACAGGAAAAAAGTAAGCCTTATTCTGGATTTATGTGGAAAAAAGGGAAGAATGGTAGTGAAACAAAGATGCATTTGCCCCAAATCCTCAGTTAGTCTCTGGCATAGCCATACAGCTAATCTTTCCTCATCTGGAAAGCCTGAGAGCCCAGGATGGGGTAGGCTCTGTCCCTGTCCAATGTCCCTAAGCCAGGCTCTGCAATGGGAGAGTGAAGGAGGGGGACAGATTCCGAGGGCTCTAGCCACACCCAGAGCATGCCTGCAGGGCATATGATGGGCCTGTTCCAGGAACAGAGGGAATAAAGAGGTTTGTTTCTGTTTGATTACAGTTCATGACAGATTGATAACTCCAAAGGCATTCAGACTCAGGATTCTGGCCCCCTTCTCTTTAACACTACGGCTTGTAAGGCACCTGGTGTTTGTTAGATGGCTGCCTTGCGTCATCCTGATGAGTGCTGGGGAACATCTCTGAGCATTCGAGCCGGTGGAGAGAAGACTGTGGGGGCACAAAATGGCCTCATCCGGTTTACATCTTCATTACTGTGCTTCTCACATACCTGCATACATCTGGAAAAAATCTCCAGGTAAACCTCTTGGGCTCTTTCTCTGAAGAGTAACTGTAATTATTAGGGCTATACCCAAATTCAGCTTAGAGTAGGTATGTGGCTGAACTTCAGCCAAAACCCTGTGCCTGTCTAAAAGAGATTTTTCTTTTTTTACATCAAATTACATAGGAGGGGCCTTTTCCACACATGGCCAGCGGGGTTCCTGGTTCTCTGTACTCAAGACTTCTATTTATGCCTTTAGGGAAAAGGCAAAGACACTGCAGGGAGGAGATGGAGATCTCCCCAAATCTCCACCACTTCCTGTTCTCAGTACCAAGGCCTAGCATTATAATATGGATTGCAGATAACATCAAACATTTGCAAACACCATGTCTTTCCCTCCCTACATACTAACATAAACCTCATCTTATAGCATTAAACAAAACCTTGCCAATTAAACCAATTGTCGTCTCTCCTGTTTTCTGATAATCTGTGTCCCTTACAAGGGATTCATCCATCTAATGCACATTAACTGAGCACATACTAAGGTGCCTGGTACTAAGCTAGGTAAAGAAAATCCCAGACTAAGACTCTCTGCATGCAGTTAGCTGGCAAAACAAGTGTGTGGTTAATTGCTCTCTATTCTGGCATGTTGCTTAGGGTTGTACAGAGGTGTGAAGTAAATGTAACATGAACTCATTCTGGAGAAGAATTAATTGTCCCCCTAGGAAAGGGATGTAGCAGGGAGGGTAGAAGCCTAAAGAGAAAACAGAAGTTGAGTTGTGAGAAAGTGTGTAGCCTTTTACATTGAAGAGAACGAAATAAGGTGGTCCCAATAAATAGGAACTTGTGTGATCTGTAATTTTTGAAAATAGTGTTATTTTGATAAGTATGCTTTTCTAAGACCATCTCTAAGATGGTCACTTGCCTCCCCTCTCATTTTTTAAAAAAATTATTTATTTATTTATTTGAGATGTAGAGTTACAGACAGTCAGGGGGAGAGACAGAGAAAGGTCTTCTATCCACTGGTTCACTCCCCAAATGGTTGCAAAGGCTGCAGCTGGGCCGATCCAAAGCCAGGAGCCAGGGGCTTCTTCCAGGTCTCCCACTCAGGTGCAGGGGCCCAAGGACTTGGGCCATCTTGTACTGCTTTCCCAGACCCTAGCAGAGAGCTGGATCAGAAGAGGAGCAGCCGGGACTCAAACAGGTGCCCATATGGGATGCCTGCACTGTAGGTGGAGGATTAACTACTGTGCCACAGTGCTGGCCCCTCTCATTTTTAAAATCTTCATCCTCAGTAGAAATTTCTGTGGTCTGCCATTTGTATTCGTGAGTTCTGCATTCACAGATTAAAGCAACTAAAAATAGTGTCTACACAGTATTATTCTTGTTATTATTCCTTAAACAGTACAGAATAACAACAGTCTACAAACAGTTTAATTATGTTAGGTGTTACAAGTAACCTAGAGGGATTGGAAGGACGTGGAAGGATATGCATAGGTTATATCGAAATACTGCACTGTATTATATTAGCAACCTCCAGTTTTGGTATCTGCAGGGTTCTTGGACCCAATCTCCCATGGAACTGACAGATGGATATATATATATATATATATATAGAGAGAGAGAGAGAGAGAGAGAGAGAGAGAAGAAGAAGAAGAAGAAGAAGGAGAGAGAAACTAAAAGGAGGAAGGAGAGCTTAGAGAAAGAGGCTTCAAGAATCCTGTCTGTCTTTGCTGTGTCCCACAGATCGAAGAGAAAGCAGCCTCTGCAGGTCTCTATCTATTTCCACCTCTGCTTGGGCAGGCCTGGGTGAGCTTATCTGGACTACCACAACAGTTGCCAAACTGGCTTCCTGTCTGCAGGCACTGTCCCTTCCTTTCCAGACTTCACGGTGAAGTCAGTGATCCTTTGAAAGTGTAAATGTGGTCATCTGGACGCAACCAATTTAGGATGTGGTACAAACACACTGTGACAGAGCCTACAAGAGCCCTTCACAGTCTGGATACAACTTGCCCTTTCCAGCCTCATCTGTCACCACCTCTCACCGGGTGTGAGGTGAAATCTCACTGTGGTTTTAATTTGCATTTCCCTAATGAATAGTGATACTGAGTACTTTTTTATATATCTGTTGGCCATTTGTATGTCTTCTTTAGAGAACTATCTATTCAAATCACTTGTTCATTTTTATAATAAGGTTATTTGTTTTTCTTTCCATAAGAGTTGTTTGCATTTCTTTTGGACATTAATGCTTTATCAAATGTATGGTTTACCAATATTTTCTCCTAATCCATATGTTACCTATCACTGTTAATTGTTTCCTTTGCTATGCAGAAGATTTTTATTTGATGTAATCCTCCTTACCTATTTTTTGCTTTTATTGCTTGTGCTTTAGGGATCATGTTCAAAAAAATCATTGTCCAGACCAAGTTCCTGTAAGTTTTCCCCTATGTTTTCTTCTAGTAGTTTAAAGTTTCAGGTCTTACGTTTAAGTCTTTAATCCATTTTGAATTGATTTTTGCAAATGAAGTGAGAGAAGGATCCAATTTCATTCTCTTGCATATGGATATCCAGTTTCCCAGCAACATTTACTGACGAGATTTTGATTTTCCCGATGTGTATACTTGGCACCTGTGCTGAAAATTAATTGACTGTACAGGCATGGGTTCATTTGGGGGTTCTATATCCTGTTCCATTGGTAGATGAGTCTTTTTGTGTCAGTACCATCTGTTTTAGTAACAACTATCACTTTGTGTTGTAGTTTGAAATTAGGTTGTGTCATGCCTTCAGGTTTCTTCTTTTTGCTCACAGTTGCTTTTTGTGACTCTGTGTGTTTGTGTCTGGTTCCATACAAATTTTAGTATTTTTTTCTATTTCTGTGAAAAATGGCAACTTTGGAATTTTTATAAGGATTACATTGAATCTGTAGATCAGTTTGGATAGTGTGAACATTTTAATATTTTTATAGATTCATGTCCTTGGTTAAGTTTATTCCTGAGTGTTTTACCTATTTTTAAAGACCTATTTTGTTTATTTGAAAGTTAGAGTTTCAGAGAGAGAGGAAAAAAGAGAGAGAGAGAAAGAGACAGAGAAAGAGAGAGAGACAGAGAGACCATCCATCCACTGGCTCACTCCCCAAATGACTGCAATTGTCCTTGCTGGTCCAGGCCAAAGGTAGGAGCTAGGAACTTCATCCAGGTTTCCCATGTGGGTGCAGGAGCCCAAGCACTTAGGCCATCTTCCACTGATTCCCCAGTTACATTTTCATGGAGTGGGATTGGAAGTGGAGCAGCTGGGACTGGAACCAGTGCCTATCCCACTGCCCATATGGAATGCTGACTTGCAGATGCTGACTTGTTATACCACAATGCCAGCCCAAATATTTTATATTTTAAGCACTTAAAATGGGATTGTTCTGTTGATTCATTTTCAGATGCTTGTTTTTAGTGTAAAGAGACACCACTGTTTTTTGTGTGTTGACTTTTTATTCTGTCACTTTACTATATTTTTTTATTAATTCTATAGATTTTTCGTGAAATAGTTAGAATTTTTTTTATATATAAGATCATATTGTCATCAAACAGTAACAATGCTACTTCTTTCTTTTATCTGGATGCCTCCCATTTCTTTCTCCTGTTTACTAGCTCTGGCAAGGACTTCCAATACTATGTTGAATAGAAGTGCAACTGGACAACCTGGTCTTGTTTCAGAACTTAGAGGAAAGGATTTCAACTTATTACCATTGGTTACGAGGATAGCTGTGAATTTCTCATAAATGGCATTTGTTGTGTTGAGGAACATTTCTTCTATAACTAAGTTGTTGAATGTTTTTATTATGAAAAGATGTTGAGTTTAGTCATATGCTTTTTTGCATCTAATAAGATAATCATGGCATTTCTGTGCTTCTTTTTGTTAATGTAACATATCACATTTTTTGATTTGTGAATGTTCCATTCTTCCATCCTAGGGATATATTCCATTTGATCATGGCAAACTATCATTTTATTTCTTGAGGATCTTTCTGTTTTCATCAAAATATTAGTCTGTAGTTTTCTTGTAATGCCAATTTCTGGCTTTGTTATCAACATAATTCTGTCTCATAAAAGTAATTCAGAAATGTTCCTTCCTCTTCAGTTTTTTGTGAGGGTTTGTGAGGGTTTTTTTTTTTTTTTTTAAGATTTACTTATTTATTTGAAAGGCAGAGTTACATAGAGATCTTCTATCCACTGGTTCACTCACCTGAATGGTCTAAATGGCCACTGCTGGGCCAGGTCCAGTGCCTATATAGGATACTGGAATCACAGACAGTGGCTGAACCCGCTGTGCCACAACACCAGCCCTAGTAGTAATTCTTCTTTAAGTGTTTGGTAGAATTCACCTGTGGAGCCATCAAATTTTAAGTTCTTTTTCATGGAAAACTTTTTATTATTGATTTGATCTCTTTATTCATTACTGACATATTTATATTTTCTATTTCTTTAAGATTCAATCTTGGTCGGTTTTGTGTGTCCAGCAATTTATCCATTTTTCTAGGTTATCCAAGTTTATGGCATATAATTGTCTAATTATTCTTTGTATATCTATTGTATCCATTTTTTAACATCTCCTCTCTTATTGCTAATTTTATTTCAGTCTTCTCTCTCCTTTAATAGTCTAGCTATAGGTTTGTGTATTTTGTTTATCTTTCAAAAAACCTGCTCTCCTTTGCATTGATCTTTTGTATTATTTTTCTGGTATCTATTTCATTTACTTCTGCTCTGATCTTTATTATTTGTTTCCTTCTACCACAATTAGGCTTAACTTGTTCCTTTTTTCTGTTTCTTGGAGGCATAACATTAGATTGTCTGCTTGAGATCTTTCTTGATGTAGATGTTTACTGCTATAGACTTTCCTCTTAGAACAGGTACTATGGTATCCCATAAATTTTTGCAAAATTCTTCCTATTGTGAGTTTCTACCTTTTCTATCAAAAAAAAGTTAATTAATAGGATTTTAATCTCATTAAATTTTCTAGGAACTTTTCTTGTGATTTAATATGAATATATGATCTACCCAGGAGAATTGTTCTAAATATATACTACAAGAATATGTATTCTGTTGTTGGATGGAGTGTTCTGAATATCTCTGTTAGATCTGCTTGATCTAAAGTGCTGTTCATGTCTAACGTTTCCTTAATTTTCTGTTTGAATTATTCTTCTGTTATTCAGTGTGGAATAGTGAAGTCCCCTGTATTAGTATATTGCAATATGTCTCTTCTTTCAGATCCTTGAATATTTTCTGTATAAATGTAGGTGCTCCAATGTTGTGTACATATGTATTTACTATTGCTACTACTTGCTCTTGGTCATTTGACCTCTCTATCATTATGTGATGTTCTTCTTGGTTGCTTTTCACAGTTTTTGACTCAACATCTATTTTGTATGATATAAGTTTACTACTCCTGTGCTCTCTCAGTTTCCATTTGTCTGGAATTCTTTTTCTATCTCTTTATTTGTTCAGTCTTTGCATCCTTAAAAGTAAGGTAAGTTTCTTATAAGCAACATGGTGTTGAGTCTTGTTTTTATCCATTCAGTTACTATGTGTCTTTTGATTAAAGAATTTAATATAGTTACATGCAAGGTAAATATTAATAGTAAAGGACTTATTACTGTTGACATTTTGTTGTTTTCTAGTTGTTTGTAGATTCCTTGTTTCTTTCTATGTTGGTGTTTTACTGAGGATTTGATAGTTATTCTGTAGTACTATGAGTATGCTTTGAATCTTTTCTATTTTGTTCAGCACATCTACTATAGATGTTTACTTTGTGGTTACCATGAGGCTTACATAGACCATGTCATTATAGTTTATTTGAAGCTGATAACTGTGATTGCATGCAATAATTCTGTCCTTTAATCCTCATATTAGGGATAAAATTTCTTTACGCACAACAATTACAGTCCTAGAGTATTCTCATTGTGGCTCTCTTACCACTAATACCTTTGATTTTTATCATTCATTCATTTTATATTATTAATTACTGGCCTATTATTTTAGCTTAAAGAACTCTTCTTAGCAATTACTGTAAGGCAGGCCTAGTATTGATAAACTCCCTTAGCATTGATTTGGAAAGTTTCCATTTATCCCTATTTTGTAAAGACTGCTCTGCTGGGTAAAGTATTCTTAATCAGTGGTTTCTTTCTTTAATACTTTAAATACACTAATACCAGTATCTCTTCATACTCAGAATTTCTGCTGAGCAGTTAACTGTCATAGCAAAACCCCTCTGCATGAGATGTTTCTTGGTTGCTGCTCTCAGAATTTTTTCTTAGTCTATGAATTTTGATAGTTTGTTTTTTTTATTTATATTTTCTTTTTTTTTAACTTTTATTTAATGAATATATATTTCCAAAGTACAGCATATGGATTACAATGGCTTACCCCCCATAACGTCCCTCCCACCTGCAACCCTCCCCTTTCCCAATCCCTCTCCTCTTCCATTCACATCAAGATTCATTTTCGATTCTCTTTATATACAGAAGATCAGTTTAGCATACATTAAGTAAAGATTTCAACAGTTTGCTCCCACACAGAAACATAAAGTGCAAAATACTGTTTGAGTACTAGTTATAGCATTAAATCTCAATGTACAGCACACTAAGAACAAAGATCCTACATGAGGAGTAAGTGCACAGTGACTCCTGTTGTTGACTTAACAAATTGACACTCTTGTTTATGGCATCAGTAATCACCCTAGGCTCTTGTCATGAGCTGCCAAGGCCCCTGAGTTCACCGACTCTGATCATATTTAGACAAGGCCATGGTCAAAGTGGAAGTTTTCTCCTCCCTTCAGAGAAAGGTACCTCCTTCTTTGATGACCTGTTCTTTCCACTGGGATCTCACTTGCGGAGATATTTCATTTAGGTTTTTTTTTTTTTCCCCCAGAGTGTCTTGGCTTTCCATGCCTGAAATACTCTCATGGGCTTTTCAGTGGGATCTGCATGCCTTAAGGGCTGATTCTGAGGCCAGAGTGCTGTTTAGGACATCTGCCATTCTATGAGTCTGCTGTGTATCTCACTTCCCATGTTGGATCGTTCTCTCCCTTTTTTATTCTATCAGCTAGTATTTGCAGACACTATTCTTGTTTATGTGATCCATTTGGTTTTTAGTCCTATCATTATGATCAATTGTGAACAGAAATTGATCACTGGGACTAGTGAGATGGCATTGGTACATGCCACTTTGATGGGATTGAATTGGAATCCCCTGGTATGTTTCTAACTCTACCGTTTGAGGTAAGTCAGCTTGAGCATGTCCCGAATTGCACATCTCTTCCCTCTCTTATTCCCACTCTTATATTTAACAGCGATCACTTATGAAATTCTTTCATAATGGCTTGAATGGGCTGAGACAGGGACCAAGATATCTCCCCAATGGGAGACATCGCCCAGGGCTGAGGGAAGAGAGACAGCAGGGAGCTTGCAGCCCTCATGCCTCTGTTCTGCTGCTTCCCATCAGGTTGGGCCAAGAGTAGAGCCGTCCATGCCCCGTGGCTCATTGTGGGGCCTCCAGAGGAAGCATGGGTGGAGACAGCGATCAGTTTTCAGTTAAGTTTCAGCACTTAAGAAGAATTGTGTATTGATTACAGTATTCAACCAAAAGTATTAAGTAGAACAAACAAAAAAAATACTAAGAGGGATAACATATTAAGTTGCTCATCAACAGTCAGGGTGAGGGCTGATCAAGTCACCGTTTCTCATAGTGTTCATTTCACTTTAACAGGTTTCCTTTTTGGTGCTCAGTTAGTTGTCACCTATCAGGGAGAACAAGTGGTATTTGTCCCTTTGTGATTGGCTTATTTCACTCAGTATAATGTTTTCCAAATTCCTAACAGGGATCACTTTTCAGTTAAAATTTAAACACCTAAGAATAATTGTGTGTTAATACTTTATCCATTTTAGTATTTTTTTTGTTCTAGTACCATTGGTTGAACTCTGATAGTTTGATTATTATCTATCTTAATTAAACCCTCTTTGAGTTGAATTTGATAGGAGACCTCTGTCCTTTTGTCTTTGAATGTTGGTATATTTCCCAAATTTAGAGAAGTTATTATTTTTTAAAAATGACAAATGGAGAGGGAGGTACAGAGCAAGAGATTGGCATCTCCCATCTGTGTGTTCATTCCCCAGATGCCTGTAACAGCTGTGACTAGGCCAGACTGAAGCCAGGAGCCAGGAACTCAATCTGGGTCTCCCACATAAGTGACAGGAGCTCATGCATTTGGGCTGTTATCTGCTACCTTCCAGATGCATTAACAGAAAGCTGGATTGGAAATGCAGAGTCACTAGCACTCAAATCAGGCATTTCAATATGGGATGTGGGCATCCCAAGCAATGGCTTAACCCACTGTGCCATAATAGTCACCTCCTTGGGGAAGTTTTAAACCAATTTTTCTTTAAATATGGTTTCTGAACCTTTTTCTATTTTCCTTCTTGAATTCTTATAATGTGTAAGGTCTCTTGATGGTATCCCATAATTCTTATAGATTTTTCTATATTAGTTTTGCTCCTGTAGATAATTTCAGTGTTCTGTTTTTTAGCTTATTGATTCTTCAGCTTGACTGAGCCTCCTTGTGGAAGTTTCGGTTGCATTTTCATTTCAATCACTGTATTTTTCACCTCTAGGATTTATTTTAAAATTATTGTTTCTATTTCTTTGTCAGACTTCTTTTGATCATGAATTGTTTCCAAATGTCCATTAGTCTTTTATACACATATTCTTGTAGTTGGCTGGAATTCTTTTTTACTTTACTGGGTTTTTTTTTTTTTTCACTTCTGCATGAAAAATTTCTGTCAGTCAGACCCCTGGAAATGTAGTCCTTCCTTTGTTCTTTTCATAGCCCAGAGCAGCCCAAGTTAGTATAGCTATACCCTAATCAGCCATCTTGGATCTCCTAAGTTTGAATTTTACATTTTACATCACTTTATTTTATTTTTAAACCAGTAGTTATATCACATATATGAGTAACCATAAACAATATATTTGTTGTACAGCTTTTTTTAATTTTGTGCTTTACAATAATGATCTCATGCTTTATCTTATCAGTGATGACTTATTTTTCACTCAGTGTCTTCTGATTCATTAATCTTGTTTTAAATTATATTTCATTCATGTCACTATTTTGTACTATTCCTTTGTGTAGGATACCACAATTTTTAAATCAGTTTTTCTGGCAATGGACATTTGGTTTGTTTCCAGGTTTTCCTTGTGACTGCAGTGTTGTATGAAATTTTCTTTTCTGCATCTCCTGGTATATGTGTGTGTGTGCGTGTGTGTGTGTGTTTTATTGTTATTGTAACAAACTACTAACACAAATTTAGTGACTTAAAACAACAGCATATTTTCATCTTACAGTTCTGTAGTTTAGTAGTTAGATATAAGATTCACTGAGCTATGGCCAGTGCCGCGGCTCACTAGACTAATCCTCCGCCTTGTGGTGCCGGCACACCGGCTTCTAGTCCCAGTCGGGGCGCCGGATTCTGTCCCGGTTGCCCCTCTTCCAGGCCAGCTCTCTGCTGTGGCCAGGGAGTGCAGTGGAGGATGGCCCAAGTGCTTGGGCCCTGCACCCCATGGGAGACCAGGATAAGTACATGGCTCCTGCCATCGGATCAGCGCAGTGCGCCGGCCGCAGCGCGCCAGCCGCGGCAGCCATTAGAGGGTGAACCAACAGCAAAGGAAGACCTTTCTCTCTCTCTCTCACTGTCCACTCTGGCTGTCAAAATAAATAAATAAATAAATAAATAAATAAATAAATAAAAGATTCACTGGGCTAAATTGAAGATGTCAGGAAGGCTATGTTCCTATCTGTTCATACTAAGGATGACTCAATTTTCTTGCCTTTTGCAGTTCCTAGAGGGCTTTCTTCAGTCTTTGGAGATAACTCATTCATTTCAGATACAACAACTCAGTGTCATCTCTTTCACCACAGCTAACAAGAAAGGTTCCCAGCTTTGAAGAACGCATGCAATTACATGGGGGCTCATCGAGGAAATCAAGAATTAGGACACAGAAATCTTTGGAAAGAGATTGTGAATTCTATCCACCACAATGTGCAAGAGTTTCACCAGGATATATATCCTTAGGAATGAAATTGCTGAGCCACAGTGTGTGTTTGTGTACATTTTCAATTTTATAGGAAAATGACTGAAAGTTTTCCCAAAATTATTGTAACCAGTTTATACAATATATAGGAGTTTCTATATCCTTGTCAATACTTTGTGTACTAGGCATCTTTCTTTTATGCATTTTAGATATTAAACCTTCTCTTATATGTATGGCAATGCCATAATTCTCCCAGTTTGTTCTTTATTGTTTACTTTCCTTACTCATATCTCTGATGAACCGTAATTGTTAATATTAATATAGTCAGTTGTGTTAATTGCTTCTTCTGTGGTTTTCACTTGTTTTTATTATTTACATTTTCATAGAGTGAACAGAAATATTTCTTGTTCCTAAGAATGCTATTGTTGAAGATTTTGGATGGATTATCTTTAGCAAATTAAGAGCTTCCTTTTTATTCTTCATTTGGTAACTTTTTTTTAAAATCATGAATTGTTGAATTTTATTTAATGCTTTTTCTGCACCTATTAAAATTATGGTAAAATTTCTAGCTTTTCATGTTATTTTGGTGATTTATATTTATAGATTTTTTTAATATTGAAGCAATCTTTTATTTCTTAGGTAAATTGAATTTGCTATAATTGGCTTTCAATATTTTGGCAGGAATTTTGGCACCTGGGTTCACAAATCAGATTATTCTGTAACTTTCCTTTTCATATATTCTTAGCTGGTTTTGGCATTACAAAATACTGGCCTTATATAATTGGTTATGGAATTTTGTCTTCTTTTAAGTTTTCCAGGAGAATTTGCATTAGAATGTAATAATTTGTTCCTTGGTAGTATTGTAAGTCATACCTGAAAAAAACTTAGATCTAATGTTTTCTTTGTGGCGTTATTTCTAACTGCTAATTTTATTTCTTTAGTGGTTGTAAAACTGTTCAGGCTTTCTGCTTATTGATTTTACTTTTATTAGGCTTAGTTTTTGAGAATTTCTTCATTGTGGCTATGTTTTAAAATTTATTGATATAAAATTATTTATAGGGGCCGGCGCTGTGGCGCAGCAGGTTAATACCCTCGCCTGCAGCGCTGGCATCCCATATGGGCGCTGGTTCGAGACCCAGCTGCTCCACTTCCTAGCCAGCTCTCTGCTGTGGCCTGAGAAAGCAGTAGAAGATGACCCAGGTCCTTGGGTCCCTGCACCTGCATGGGAGACCTGGAAGAAGCTCCTGGCTCCTGGCTCCTGGCTTTGGATCGGTGTAACTCTGGCCGTTGTGGCCAACTGGGAAGTGAACCATCGTATGGAGGACCTCTCTCTCTCTCTCTCTCTCTCTCTGCCTCTCCTCTCTCTGTGTAACTCTGACTTTCAAATAAATAAATATTTTTAAAAAAACATTGTTTATAGCATTCACTTACTTCTTAAAAGGACTGCCACAATTATATTTAAGTAGACCTTTTTTTTTCCTGAGACCTTTTTTTTTCCTGCTACATTTTACTTGTGCTTTTTTTCTTAGCTAAAAATCATCACAAATTTATTTATTTTATTTTAAAATAACCAAGTTTTGGATTCAGCAAACTTCTGTATTGCACCTTTTATATTTACTACATTTTTTCTCTTTTGTATTACGTCCTGCCTTCTACTTTGAGTGTGCTCTTTTTTAACTTCTTAAACAACTTTTCTTTCTTCTTTTCTACTATAATATTTAATCTTACACATTTCCCTCAAAATAGTGTGTTGTTGTATCCTACATATACTTACAGTTTTCTGTGTAGTAAGTTAATTATTATCCATTCTTAGTTTTAGAAAAAATCTCCATTGTGACTAACTCTGATATAAGCATGATTTAGGAGATGATTTCTAATTTATAGTTTTATTTCTGATTTTTATTTTAATTTCAATTGTAGTCAGAAAACAAAGCCTATCTATGATTGGGATGTGGTTTGTCACCCAAGGTTCATGGGTTGGGATCTTGATCCTCAGTTTGGCAGAGTTGAGAGGTAGAACTTTTAGGAGGCGAATCATGGAGGGGTGTTTCTTACATCATTGGAGGAGTGCCCTTGAAAGGGATTGTGGGACTTTAGTCTCTATCTGGCTTCGTGTTTGATGATGTGATCTCTTACACATACACACACACACATGCTCCTGTCATTGTGTGACACAGCTGAAAGGGTTCTCACCACAACTGAACAGATGCTGGCATCATGCCATTGAGCTTCTAGAGCTTTGAGCTAAAGAAACCTCTTTTTGTAAATGACAGTATCCTGCCTTAGGCATTTTGTCATAGTAAAGACAAAATGAACTAAGACACTGTTTGCTAGTTTTCTTTAAGATTTGCCAACATGTGATTTATAGATAGCCTAGAATGTTTCCCATTTTTATAAATATTCCCTGTGGGCTTAAGAAAAACATGTATATTATAATTACCAATAATGTTCTATGACAGATATTAATTGTATAATTCAATTATTCTATATATTCACCAATTTTATTTTCTGTTAGACCTAAATAATCAATGCAGATGTTAGAAATTTCCCAGTATGACTGGATTTGTCAATATCTTTCTGTAATTCTATTTTTGTGTGTATTTGAGGCTAATTTGTGGTGACACAAGTTTAGAGTAATTATGTCTGGTGAACTAAACTTTATATGTAGTAATCTTCATTGTTAATGATTTTATTTAATATCTATTTAATTGCTTTAAAAAATATAGCAGTTCCAGCTTTCATTGTCCTAATCTGTTGGTTAACTTACTTATTTAGTTTAAATTGTCAATGATTATGTATATATATGTATATATTTCACTTTTTTTTTTTTTTTTTTTGACAGGCAGAGTGAGAGAGAGACAGAGAGAAAGGTCTTCCTTCTGTTGGTTCACCCCACAATGGCCGCCACGGCCGGCGTGCTGCGCCAATCCTAAACCAGGAGCCAGGTGCTTCTCCTGGTCTCCCATGCAGGTTCAGGGTCCAAGCACTTGGGCCATCCTCCACTGCCTTCCCGGGCCACAGCAGAGAGCTGGTCTGGAAGAGGAGCAACCAGGACAGAATCCGCGCCCCAACCGGGACTTAAACCCGGGTGCCAGTGCCGCAGGGGAGGATTAACCAAATGAGCTGCAGCACCGGCCTATATTTCACTTCTAAGAGATCTTTTGTTCATTCTTCTAGCATGCTCAGTAATTTTTGGTAGTTTTTTCTTCTTGGCTTCTCTTTTAAAAAAGTCTTTTAAATTTTGTATACATGGTAATTATGTATATTTATATACTTAAAGATTTGTTTGTTTATTTGAAAGTCAGATTTAAAGAGAGAGAGGAACACACACACACACACACACACACATCTTTTATTTGCTGTTTCACTCCCCAGATGGCCTCAACTGCCAGGGCTGGGCATGACCAAAGCCAGGAGCCAGGAGCCAGGAGCTTCTTCCAGGTCTCCTACATGGCTAGCAGGAACCCAAACACTTTGGCCATCTTCTGCTGCTTTTCCTAGGCAATTAGCAGGGAGTGGGAAGCTATGACATGAACCTGTGCTCATATGGGATGCTGGTGTTACGGGCCACAGCTTTTCCCACTGCACTACATTGCTGGGTCCTTTGATAACTATAAAACATGAAGTTCTTTGGCTCTAAATCTGTATTTTTTGTTTTAACTCACCCTTTCTTGTAAGCATTCTCTTTTGTTATGTCGTTGGTAATTTTGGATTTTGTGCTCATATCTTGTATACCTTAATGTTTGGGAATTCCAGATGCCTCCCTTCCGGGGAGGATTTGCATGTGCTGGGCTGGAGCCATGTGTGGACTTTCACAGTGTGCAATTAATTAAGAGATTCATGCTGCTCTTTCCTATCTTGCCTTGGGACCATCCATGATTAGCCTCTTAGCACCAATTCAGGTGTTGATATGTGTAATTTCAGGATCCCAGGGCAGCCAACCTAGGAATTTACTCACTGGAGTTTACTTACTATTGTAGTTTTGGGCTTGGATTTTAGCTAGCCCTTACTTTCCCCTCTTAGCTGAGGGTGCAGGAAAGGAAACAAGATTTCTCTTAGCATTTTAGTTGTTACAAAATCCACTGAAATTATCTTTGTTGTGATAGATACAGATTCTAATCACATTTTGGCAGGAGACACTTTAGAGTAGCAAATCTGATAATGCTAGAAGTATAAGTCTCCTCCTATTGAGCCTTTTAACCAATCTCCCACTTGCCTACATTCTGTCTCCAGGCTCCTGTAAGAAAAATCCCTGTGGGTGCACCTGGGGCTTTTAGTTTTTCTGTCTTTTCTTCCAGGCTAACTTTATCAGCAGCTCCTTCTGAGGTGCTTAGGCTTCATCTTCTTCCTTTTGCTATATCTTCTAACACATTGTCCCCATATTGTAGTTAGTGGTTGACAGACTCTGTGACTTTCTGTTTTGTGTCTTTTTTGTTGCAGGGTCATTTTTGAGAGGAGGAGGTAGAAAAGGCATTACTTTGCCATCTTCAAAAATATGCTTTAATTTAAAATCCACTCAAAATTGATTGCTCGCATATTGTGAAAAATTACTGCAGCCTCCAAGTAGTTCGAGTTTCACAAAAGTGGCCTCTTCAACTTTGGGATCCTTTCCAGCAAGAGGTGGATATCTGCTTAAGGAAAAGGAAATATTTGGGTCAAATGAGATTTTAGACATTTGGATTGGTGATCAACACTGGCCACCTCTAACTGGCCGATAGAGACAGAAGGGGAGCCAGAACAAACATCTGTGTTCCGTGGAAATTATTCTAGAATTACTGTCTTCTCAACCTTTCCTTCTGTTGGTTTCTTATCCCTAAAGACACCTGTAAAGTAAAGATGTTCACGTTTACCCTAGTGAGTCTTTTTTTTATTTTTATTTTTATTTAATGAATATAAATTTCCAAAGTGCGACTCATGGGTTACAATGGCTTTCCCCCCCATACCGTCCCTCCCACCTACAACCCTCCCCTTTCCCACTCCCTCTCCCCTTCCATTCACATCAAGATTCATTTTCGATTATCTTAATATACAGAAGATCAGCTTAGTATACCTTAAGTAAGGATTTCAACAGTTTGTTCCCACACAGAAACATAAAGTGAAAAATAATAGATGATTTTTTTTTAAATCATGATGAAATCAGATCAGACCTATTGTCATGTTTAATCCCAGTGAGAGTCAAGTTGGGAATTGATAATTTCTTTTTTTTTTTTCTATTTACAGAAGATCAATTTAGTGTACATTAAGTAAAGATTTCAATCGTTTGCACCCCCATAGAAACACAAAGTGAAATATACTGTTTGAGTACTCGTTATAGCATTAAGCCTCAGTGTACAGCACATTAAGGCCAGAGATCCTACATGAGGAGTAAGTGCACAGTGACTCCTGTTGTTGACTTTACAAATTGACACTCCTGTTTATGGCATCAATAATCTCCCTATGCACCAGTCATGAGTTTCCAAGGCTATGGAAGCCCCTTGAGTTCTCCGACTCTTATTTTGTTTAGACAAGGTCATAGTCAAAGTGGAGGTTCTCTCCTCCCTTCAGAGAAAGGCACCTCCCTCTTTGAAGACCTGTTCTTTCCACTGGGATCTCACTCACAGAGATCTTTTTGCCAGAGTGCCTTGGCTTTCCATGCCTGAAATACTCTCATGGGCTTTTCAGCCAGATCCGAGTGCCTTTAGGGCTGATTCTGAGGCCAGAGTGCTATTTAGGACATCCGCCATTCTATGAGTCTGCTGAGTATCTCACTTCCCATGTTGGATCACTCTCCCCTTTATTTATTCTATCGGTTAGTGTTAGCAGATGCTAGACTTGTTTATGTGCTCCCTTTGACTCTTAGTCCTTTCATTATGATCAATTGTGAACTGAAATTGATCACTTGGAATAGTGAGATGGCATTGGCACATGCCACCTTGATGGGATTGAATTGGAATCCCCTGGTATGTTTCCAACTCTACCAATTGGGGCAAGTCAGCCCGAGCATGCCCCAAATTATACATCTCTTCCCTCTCTTATTCCCACTTTTATGTTTAACAGGGATCACATTTCAGTTAAGAAACAACGAAATCCAGTCATTTGCAACAAAATGGAGGAATCTGGAACACATCATGCTGAGTGAAGTAAGCCAGTCCCAAAGGGACAAATACCATATGTTCTCCCTGATCGGTGACAACTGACTGAACACCAAAAAGGAAACCTCCTGAAGTGAAATGGACACTATGGGAAATGGTGACTTGATCAGCATAGCCCTGACTGCTAATGGACAACTTAATATATTATCCCTCATAGTATTTTTTTTGTCTGTTCTACTTAATATGACTGGTTTAATTCTGTAATTATCACACAGTTATTCTTAAGTGTTGAAAATTAACCCTAGTGAGTCTTGATGTCTTCTGTAAGTTCATGTCTCTCTCCAGAATTTTTCTCCTCATGTCAGTGCTTCCCCCTGTGCAAGAAAGTTTGGATCCTTAGTGCTGTCTTATTTAAATATCTCTAATTTTCAAGGATTATTTAAGGAATCTTGTGGACTTGGAAGAAAATCATGATTCTCTATAAGCAGGAAGTTCACCATTAAAATTTAAAATTTTTAAGGACTATACCTGATTTCAGCTTCTTGGATTGCCACACTAAGAAATGAGAAACTACATAAGTATCATTTGATATTTTTACAAGTGTGGGAAAATTGGGCTTTCCCACTAATAAAAGTATTTTCATGGGTGGAACTTTATTCAAATTCTTAAATGTCTGATGGAAAATTGCCAGCTTTGTTTGAGGTAGGATAGGAAGAGTTTTAGAAATGAAATATTTCAAATTGCTGGGGGGAAAAAAGCTATCTAGCATAAAACAACAAAAGTGTCAGCCATAAAGATGTACAACATTTTTCAGGAAGCCTGTCTATCCTGAGCAAATGTTTTCATACCAAATAACAATCCGTTCATAATCTCTGCTATGGAGGAGACATCCCAAGGTTGCTGGACGGAAATATGTAAAATATGTTCTGAAACCCAATCTAATAGAATCCCAACATTTGAGTTCATTCAGAGGAAGGCATTCAAAGGCAATGTAATTTTCATAAAACATGTCCGTCTAGGTAATCATGAATGCTGAATATTGTCACGGTTTCTGAGGAATTCCCAGCCTTCTGGAAAATCCTTCCAACTAGACTTTTACCCACCAAGAAGAAATAACAATAATGACTTGAAATTTAAAATAAACTGTACTGGAAAAATTCTATAACTCCCACTCCAAAGGCAGCAGTAGGAATGTAGTGCTACTTGTAATTTGACACAGGGATTTGAAAATGAACATAAATACAAGTCCTGATCAGACTGCTGGGATTTGGCAAACATGGTGGATTAAGGAAAGGATGGCTCTCCAGGAATGACCATACAGGAGACTCTCAAATTGTCCTAGTAGATATTCATAGATGTGTACATGACAGGAATGTGATGTTTCTCAGTAATGATTTCATCAGTGTGTATGCTACTGATTATTGGCATGACCCAATATTAGCACTGGGTATCCATTTACAGAGAATGTAGGAAGAAAGACATGGACAAGGAAATGCTCAGACTCACTGGCACAGGCTATCTGCAACACCACTCTGGAGTGAAGATCCCGAAAAGAGTAGGCAGTGGGAAAGAACTGGATCTAGTCTAACAGTTTTATTCAAGAGTTACCTACATTTTCTCCCAAAGTCTCCTAAAATAGAATAGGGGTTATATACCAATATAAAGTTTTGGCAAGTTGAGCTGTTAAACTGACAGTGTTATATAGAGTGGAGTTTTCTGGCTTTTCCTCATGCATCTGAGTCTTTTTATCCTCATACACTAATGCTTCAGGTTATTTGATCTGCCCCTAAGCAATGGAAACAGTATTTACAGCAAGTTGTGTGCTCCATCTGTCACGTGCAAATAGCCTCCTATTCCTGTGGCCACATGAAAATGAGAGATTCAAATGGGGTCATCTGGAGTTCTCTGCTGAGAGAAAATTAGCCAGTGTCAGCTTTGCACTTTGGCATCACCAGTGCTGTAGGAACTAAAAGTTGGTGAGGAAGGGATGGCTGACTTGTCTCAGTATTTCCCCACACAGCTGTGTAAAGCAGATTTGGGGCTCATGCCTGCACTCACAGGGAGTGATAGAATGGCACAGCCATGGCACTCTGTAGTAACAGAAACTGTCCGAGGAAGGGGAAACAGGGAGATTTGGGGCCAAAAGTGCATTTTCCACTAGTGATGTGAGTTGTTACTTGGCATAAATTTGTCACTGAAATGCTTTCATTTGTGCAATAAATATTTCTTTAAAAGATTTTTATTTGTTTGAAAGGCAGAGAGACAGAGCGAGACAGAGGGAGATCTACCATCCTCTGGTTCAGGCTCCAAATGCCAACTACAGTCAGAGCTGAGCTAGGCTGAAGTTCAGAGCTGAGAAGTCCATCTGGGTCTGTCACATGACTGTCAGGAACCCATCTACCTGAGCCGTCACCAGCTCCCTTCCAGGGTGTTCATTAACAAGAAGCTGGAATGAGGCAGGAGCAGAGCCAGAATTCAAACCCTGTGCTTCTATATGGGATGTGGTGTCCCAAGCAGCGACTTAACTGTTGAGCCAAACACCTGCTCCAATAAATATTTCTTAAGTATTTCTTTTGTACAAAGACGTTTCTGCTGTGTGTGTGTGTATGTGTGTGTGTGTGTGTGTGTTAATCATGTGTGAGGCCTGGATGGAGTTCCAGGCTCCCGGCTTCAGCCTGGTCCAGTTCTGGCCATTGTGGTCATTTGGAGAGTGAACCAGTGAATGGAAAATCTCTTTCTCTCTCTCTCTTCACTCTGCCTTTCAAATAAATAAAAATAAATATTTTAAAAGTGTTTGGGCTGGCGCCGTGGCTCACTAGGCTAATCCTCTGCCTGCGGCGCCGGCACCCCGGGTTCTAGTCCCGGTTGGGGCACCAGATTCTGTCCTGGCTGCTCCTCTTCCAGTCCAGCTCTCTGCTGTGTCCCAAGAAGGCAGTGGAGGATGGCCCAGGTCCTTGGGCCCTGCACCCACATGGGAGACCAGGATGAAGCACCTGGCTCCTGGCTTCAGACAGCGCAGCGCGCTGGCTGCAACAGCCACTTGAGGGGTGAACCAACAGAAAAAGGAAGACCTTTCTCTTTGTCTCTCACTGTCTAACTCTGCCTGTCCAAAAAAAAAAAAATGTTTGAATTGGACTCTTATAAATCTTTAATTTTTCTATATGCATATTACACGCAATAAAAAGTTAGCTCTAAAATGTACATATTCCTCCCATAATTTCTGGAGAAATTAATTTTCTCCAGTTACCAAATGCAACTCAGAAATCAGAAATTTCCAATCTGGCTTTGTGAATCCCAATCTCAGGTCCCAAACAATGTATCTTAAGTTTTTCCATTAAGTGTGCATGAGCACATATCATATACACGTGCACATTGCTTCTTGATTTCTCTTCCAGATGAAAATTTTGCCTTATGTAATTTAAGTTTCTGATACATAAGGCACTGTTCTTGGTTCTTAGTGTGTATTAACTCATGTAATCCTGAAAACCATCCTCTAAGGTAGTCATAATTGCCTCCACTTTACAGAATCTTAGATCCAAAAAGATTAAGTAATTTGCCTCAAAAACAGAAATCTAATCAGGTCTCATTGCCTTCAGAGCCCTCACTTTTTCTTCTACATCAAAACTTTCCTTTTCTGTAAGGAAGAAGATAGTGACTTAAAAACTAATAATGTTAACACAGAAATTGTTTGGTCCATCTGCTTCAGGTTACAAATGAGCAAATGGACAGAAAATGACTAGCCCAAGGTCTCACGACAGTTTGCCATGCTTTTTTCATGTATTAAGTAGTCACAGAAAAGAATATGTAGGGCCGGCGCCGCGGCTCAATAGGCTAATCCTCTGCCTGCAGCGCTGGCACATGGGGTTCTAGTCCCGGTTGGGGCGCCAGATTCTGTCCCAGTTGCCCCTCTTCCAGGCCAGCTCTCTGCTATGGCGCAGGAGTGCAGTGGAAGATGCTTGGGCCCTGCACCCCATGGGAGACCAGGAGAAGCACCTGGCTCCTGCCTTCAGATCAGCGCAGTGCGCCGGCCGCAGTGTGCCGGCCGCGGCGGCCATTGGAGGATGAACCAATGGCAAAAGGAAGACCTTTCTCTCTGTCTCTCTCTTCTCTCACTGTCCACTCTGCCTGTCAAAAAAAAAAAAAAAAAAAAAAAAAAAAGGGATATGTAGGGAAAAATGTGGACATCAGAACAAAGTTAAGGAACAACAAAAGAATAAACAAGGCATTGGTCAGCGCCGTGGCTCACTAGGCTAATCGTTCACCTTGCGGCACCGGCACATCGGGTTCTAGTCCCGGTTGGGGTGCCGGACTCTGTCCCGGTTGCCCCTCTTTCAGGCCAGCTCTCTGCTGTGGCCCAGGAGTGCAGTGGAGGATGGCCCAAGTGCTTGGGCCCTGCACCCCATGGGAGACCAGGATAAGTACCTGGCTCCTGCCATCGGATCAGTGCGGTGCGGCGGCCATTGGAGGGTGAACCAACAGCAAAGGAAGACCTTTCTCTCTCTCTCTCTTTCTTTCTCACTGTCCACTCTGCCTGTCAAAAAAAATAAATAAATAAAAATAAACAAGGCATTTGCAACCTATTTTTTTTTTTTTGCTTTGTTTGCTATGAAGTTGAACTGCAATAGGTATCTGCCTTGCACCCTGGTAAAATGGCCCTGCTCCAGGCTTTAGAAGTCCCCACTTCCATATTATAACTGTGCACACAGGTCTCTTGAAATCTGACACTGAGCATTTGCACAGTAGCACGAACAAATTCTGTTCTCATGACTCTCAATGTTCAGGAAACTAATTCTCTGTATCTGTTTACCCTTTGTGATGTACAAAGGTGACAGTGCAATTGCTCTCCAGGTCTGTGGTTCCTTTTGCTATTGAGATGGAATATGTTCCTGTGTCTGCATGTGGAAAGGATTGAGGCATCTATGGAGTTACTATTCTACGGGTTCAGTTATGTCAGTTTTATAAGATGAGTAAATTCTAGAAATCTGCCACACAACACAGTGCCTGTAACTAACAATCTGTATTGTGCACTCTAAAATCTGGTAAGTGAACTGTTCTTTCCACAAAAAAAGGAAACAAAAAAAACCAAGAAAATGGTACAAAGAAATTTTGGGAGGTGCTTGATATGCTTATTCCCTTGATTGTGGTGATAGTTTCACAGATGTGTGTGTATGTCCAAACTCAAGTTGTATGCATTAAATATGTGCAGATTTTGCATATCACTTATAACCCAAAAAATGTTTTGTTAAAAAGATTTTCAAAAGTTAGATAAAAATTCAGCCTTAAATTATTTAAACTTTATTAATTAGAATTTATGTTTTTAATTTAAAGAAATTACTGTGGAAAATAAACTTCTTGAATTCATAAGAGAAAATAATTTTCATTACATTTTGATGAAGATATATACAAATTTTGTACATATTGAACATAGTTTCATTTATATTTTAATATTCATAGTCCTGTAAAGATTGAAATAGATTTTACTTAAAGAAAAAAATTACTATTTTGGAACTAATATATAATAAATTATGAATTATGTATGTTTTCAATTTATTAACCATTTAAACATGATTGGTTATCAACAGAATAGCTAATCTGAGCAATAATAAAATTTTATCTCTTGCTATTTTGATGACTTAAAACCATATAAAACCTGCACATTTACAAATATTTTAAAATTTATTGTTCTGAGGAATATTTTTCAAATAGAAAATAATTTGTTAAATAGAAAAAAATATTTAAAAGTTTTTGAGCTTGACTTAAAACTTTAAAATATTTATATATATATATATATTTATATATATTATGAACGCCTTTATTTGTATGCTTGCCTCAGGTCCTGCAAAAGTTAAAAGCAATTCTGACCACAGCTTCCTTTCACATAAGGTCCTTGTGGTCAGTGAAGAGCTTTGGGTATTACCGGATGTCTTATCTTTGGCCACCATAGCACTGATTGTATGTCTAGGAGGCATTAAGTCACTGTTGCTTCAGTTGTCCTTACATGGTAAATCGATACTCATCTTTCTCTCTAAATCATACATCTCTTCCTTGTTAGAGACTTTGGTGGCAACAGGAAAATCTTCACAATGCCTTTCATCACATCCTTCTCTTTTAAACCAGAAATATGAAGAAAATGGATTACAGTGCTTTGTCTGGGTACAATATTTATGGAGAAGAATTAAAATCAATATTTTGAAGATAACTATAGCCTCATGTACTTTTCAGCATTATTCACAATAGTCAGGTATGGAAGCAACCTAAGTGTCTGTCAGTGAATGTGTGGATAAGGAAAATATGGTCAGAGAATACCATTCCACTTCAACAAGGAGAAACTCTGTCCAACACAGATAAACCCGGAGGACATTTTGTGAAGTGAAATAAGCCAGGAGCAGAAAGACAAATACTGCATGATCTCACTTATATGTCAAATCCAAAAAAAGCCCATCTCCCAGAAAGAGTAGGACAACTGGCCATCAGAACCTGGAGATAAAGAGGCAGGGCCATGGGGAACTGGGAGATGTTGATCAAAAGCATAGTTTCAGTTCTTGGAAGTAGCGAGTGTTAGAGATCTATTGGACAACATGATGACCAGCGTTAATGTATTGTACACTTCAGCATACTGAAAAAATAGATTTTAGAAGTTTCTACTAAAAAAATTAATAAGGAGGTTAGGTGATGAATATGTTACTTAGCTTCAGTTAATCTTTCTTTAGAATGTATACATGCAAATCACAGTCACATTTTAAACTGTAAATATACACAATTATTGTCAAATTAATTAGTTTTAAAAAGATGCTTTATAAATTTATTGTTAGTCTATTCAAAGCCTTCTGTTTTCCTCCCCTTCTCTGTAGTCATGTTCTCAACTCCCTCTTGTATCCTCCTTGATGCCTACTTTTAATCAAACTTGTAGAGTTAAGATTTTTAAATCTGACTTTCTGCCATAATTCTTCAAATAGATCAACTCCCTTTATTCTCTAACAATTTAACTCATCCTGCAAAAAAGAGTAGTGCTTTCCTGATGATCAACAAAAATGTTATTTCAGTTGACAATATTTTAAATCTATCAATGATGGAAGTGCTCAGCTTCATATAAATATTGCAGGGATGATAAAAGAATCTGGAAGTACTATTATTGCCATTTTTGCTGGGTTTTTAGATAAGAGGCTTATCTCTGTGCTTCGCCCTTCATTAATTTTCTATTTACTTGGCTTGTTCACCAAGTGGAGAGGAAGTGGGTTTCCTACATGGTGCTAAGGCAAGCTGCCCTCCTTTGTTGCTGTCTTACCGGACCCCACATTCCACAAATTACTCTGTGTTGGGTGAGATGGTTGCCAAGATAGGCAGTCTAGACTATAATTAAAACTAAGATTTTTTTTTCACTCTATAAATTTAACAGTTTATTTCTTGAAACCATCCTGTTTCTCCTTAATTTGGCTGTAGGAAAATAAACCACAAGTGACATGTTTTTCACTGTGGTTTCCTCAGACACTGGAGCCACTCTTGTTTCAGGTATTATGGTTCATAACGGTTCCAGAACCAGATCAAGTAATGATGGTGTGTCGCAGAAAGGCTTCATGGCTGTAACCCCATTTAAGTAAATTATTAAAATTTACTTGACAAGAAGAGGAATGCCTTGGAAGTTTCTGGGACTAAACTATCAAAGTCCCAGCCCATCGGTATTTATAATTCAGTGGAGCCATGTAGACTCTAAAAGCACCGAGTGCCTTCTGTGCTTAACTTTTCCATGAGTTAGAAGTAACATAAAATGTGTTCCTCAGTGAAGAATTTAGAGTGCCCATAAGCAAGTGTGCAGTCTGGCAAGTGCTGAGTTGCACGGTTATTGAGTGTTTACATTCTCATAGCACTCACCACAGATGTATAGTTACATTTATGTGTGTGTGTGCTTATGTTTGTCTTGACCATTAATTTTTAAACTGCTCTTGTTTGCTGTTGTATTATGAAGCCAGCATCCTTAGAAGGTAATTAGAAAATCTGACGCTCATCCAAGGAGGTAGTCTTGCTCTTAGCTCTGTCCATATGACCGCTCAGTAATCTTGGGCTGTAACTTATTGTTCCTTTTGAAAATGACCACACTTTGTTGTCTTGGTGAGGTTGGGTGAGCATGGCAAAGATTCAGTCAATGATAATTTAACAGAACCCAAAGATCCAGAGACTCTGCCTGCATGATTTCTGAGCACGCAGAGCACTTCTTGTGACCTCTGTCTTAGAAAGGAGACAGCAAGCCTTGTATTGACCATTTTCTCCTTCAGAATAACAAAAATAGTGACGATGAGGGGGGCAGTAGGTGGCGCCGGATTTAGACGCTGCTTGGGATACCCATTTTCCATATTGGAGTGCCAGGATTGGAATTCTGGCCCTGCTACCAATTCCATGTTCCTGATGATGTATACCTGGAAGGCCACAGTTTATGGCTTGAGTAGTTGAGTCCCTGCCATCCATGTGAGAGACCTGGTTTGAGTTCCAAGGTGCCTGGCTTTGCCATGGACCAGCCCAGGTTGTCATAAGCCTATGGGGGAGTGAACTAGCAGTTGGAAGCTATCTCCTTCTGTCTGTCCATCTGTCTGTCTCTCTGCCTTTCAAATAAACAAAAATAAAATTTGAAAAAAAATGTAAGAAAGAGTAACGATGAAATTCTATGAAGCTTTTGTACAATGTGTCAGATATTTGGGTAAATGCATCCTCTTCGTAATTTATTTATTCATCTTAACTGCACCAAGAAGTCCCTGTAATTCTTATCTCCATTTTACAAAGCAGGGCACAGAGGTGCAGAGGCCAGTATTTATTTGAGTTCTTCCAGGGAGGGGGTGGCGGAAAAGGGAATAATAAAACCAGTCTGCCTTCAGAACCCAAGCTCTTCATCTTTTCATTCTCCTGGGGCAGATATATTAGATCATCTATTATGAAGCAATTGAGGAGATCAAGAAATACTCTCAGGCAGATTTTGTTGCCTTTTGAGCCCTTCATCATGCTTTCAAACCTTCCAGTTGGCATGGCTCTCTGCGCATAAAAAGATGTTTCATTTACCGAAACGTGACTTCAGAAGTTTCATGAATGCAGCCAGCACTTCGTGGGAAACAAGGAGTTAAAGTGCTGACAGTCCTTCCTGTGTGCGTCCAGCCAGCAGCTGTTCATCACAAATACAGGCCTTTGATCCTGACAGCTTTCCTTTCACTCAGGGGGAGAGGGAGGGCTTGACATGGAGAAGCAGGAAAGACTAGAGAGAAAAGGGTCTTGTGTGTTTCCTGGGTGGATTGCCTCCTTCTTGGCCTGCCTCCAGGAAGCGAGTCTTTTCCTGCCCTAAAACGTCAAGGAAATAAATCTCTCTCCTGTAGAGCAGACCTGAGAGAGGCCCAGGGGCAGCCGCCTGAGATTCGTCAGGTCCAGTGACTAGGCTGTCAGGGTGGCCAGTGTGTGGCCTGGGAGGTTGCAGCCCCTGGCTGGAGCCAAGGAGGGGGTGTATCAACATGACCTAGAGAGGAGCAGGGTGGTGCTAGACAGGTCTTCAACCCCCCAGGGTAGGCAACCAGGGTAGCACCCATAGTAAAATAAACTAGGGTTCCTGAGACCAGCCCTCTGGAGAAGGAAGTTTATAGAAAGCACAGGGGCTGGAGTTGTGGTATAGCGGGTGAAGCCTCTGCCTGCGGCGCCAGCATCCCATATGGACACCATTTCATGTCCTGGCTGCTGCTCTTCCAATGCAGCTCTCTGCTATGTTCTGGGAAAGCAGTAGAAGATGGCCACTGAAGATATGGTATCCAGGCTGATAATATGATGGAGAAAGGACTCCATTAGGTTTGATGATTGATTCGATGGCCCTTTCTTAACTATATTCATGTTGACTTGGCCATGTGGATGTCTCTCTGGTGGGCAGCCTTTCCATTTTGGCTTGACAATGTAACTTGCTTTGTCCTATGAGACTTTTGCAGATGCAACAGAAGTGGATTTGAAGTGTGCTTGTGCCTTTGGGCAGACTGTGTGCTTCTGCATGGCTAAGAGAAAAGTCTCTTGGCCCAACCTCAGCTCATCCAAGGCTGTGAGTAAGCCCAGCTGAAATCAGCAAATCAGCAGATGTGCAGGAAAGAAATGCTCATTGTGGGATCCCTTGGATATTTTGGAGTTGCTGGTTAGGCAGTATCATTGATTCCTTAGCTAATTGTTATGGCTTCTATCAGAATGAAGGCACCATTAGAGTGGCAGTACTGAAAAATAGAGCAAGAGAAATAAATAGGTCCTGGTAACATGGTTTGAACTCTGATCATGATGTGGCTAGAGCCATCCACTTCTCAAACTTTCTCATTTTTTTTTTTTTAGATTTATTCATCTATTTGAAAGTCAGAGTTACACAGAAAGAGGAGAGGCAGAGAGAGAGAAAGAGAGAAGGAGCTCATCCATCCGATAGTTCACTCCCCAATTGACTGCAATGGCTGGAGCTACGCCAATCCAAAGCCAGGAACCAGGAGCTTCTTCCCGGTCTCCCACATGGGTGCAGGGGCCCAAGGACTTGGGCCATCTTCCACTACTTTCCCAGGCCACAGCAGAGAGCCGGATAGGAAGTGGAGTAGCCAGGTCTCAAACTGGTGCCTATATGGGATACCAGCACTTCAGGCCAGAACATTAACCTGCTGCGCCAGAGCACCGGCCCCAAACTTTCGCATTCTGTGAGCCAATAGAATTATCTCTTGCTTACAGCCCTTCAGATCAGATTTTAGTCATTGGAAACAAGTCTTATTAGACTGACTGTAAACTAAACATGAACAGGATCTTTCTGCTCTTGCAACCCTTACCATACCAACACATGGTATATACTTGTATCACATATGCATAGAGAAATGTGTTTGTATGAGGGAGAGCATGTGGCAAGTTATAAACTAATCAATGGAGAAAGAAGAGGCTTAGGTATACTTCCCAGGACCATAGAATCTGGGATGGAAATTTATGTGTGAATGCAGGACCAACACCTATGAACAAAAGAGAAGTAGAAGGGAGTGAAGGGAAAAGTGAAACTGCGATGATTTGCCTCAGAGGCCTCAGCAGATCCCATAGAATCCTGGAGCTGGGTTAGTCGTTAGTCCCCTCAGACTTGTGCCCATAAAAGCCAGAGAGCCAGATCTTGGTACCCACCGCACTGCCAAGGCATTGGTTGTGGGCTGGGTCCACTGAGACAATAGGACCTGGATGAGTAAGCTTTCTTCAGCCTGGGGCAATTCCTGGAGAGGGGCACAACTGTGTATGTCAGCAGCAAGCACTCTTGGCAGCTGAGAGGTTGAGTCTCTGTCCTAAAGGGAGACAGTGATCTGGCTGGAGCGCCGTAGAGTCCACTGAGAGAGCCACGACTTGATGTAGGGATCTGGATGGTTTCTGCTGACGTCATCTAACAGGTCACCTGACTGATTTGCTTTGTGTTATCAGCAAAGGAGGAATAATCAGTCAGTCAACAGTGTATTGATTCGGTACTTGGGAGGGACAAAACAGCTCCACATTTATATAGTGAGACATAAGAACAGCAACAGCAGTTCTTTTTCAGACGGATAAGAGGAGATGTGTCGTGAGACGTCATTTCATAACCAGCCAGTGCTTTGCATATTTCCAGCGTAATGGTGAACTAAAGGAACTTGCTGGCTCTCCAGTGTGCAGGTTCCCATGGGGATGGCATTTATCAGCCTACCCTTCTGCATACCACCTGGTATCCCATAGCCTGAGAAACAGCAACATCAGGTTGCTTGTTTTGACCCGGCAAAATCAGAGGAGCTCTCATGCTCTCAGAGCTGGCTGGTACATACCATGTTGCAAAGGGAGAGTCAGGCCTCTCCTGTATGTTTTCCTTCCCTGTTGTTCTCTACACCGCCTTTCTCCATCATGTGCGAAACCTCCTGGGTGCCAGTTTAGAAGGGGTGGGGAGCACCTTTACCTACAGTTCTTCTTACTGAAAAATTCTGTTTCTTGACTTTTCAGCACCCTTGTGTGGAAATGTGTTACTTACAATGCCTAAGATATTTGGAGTGGAAGCAGGGAAAATAATAATATTGGTGACACATCATAAATCCATGGAGACAGAGATGCTGAAAGTGGCAGAATTAAGTCCTTTGGAAAGCACAGGAGGTCAGCGTGAGGAGGGCATGATGGTGAAACAAGACTGTTTTCTTACTCCTAGGGTGCAACATGGTACAGAGAGTGTTCAGGAGTCACACCAGAAGAGCACTGGTTTCACGTGAGCTTAGTGCTTCATGTTAATCATTTTGACATTTCCAGACATGGGTTCATACTGGTCCCCATTCCACAACCGCCTGTTTCCCTCTTCTCCACATGAAAGGCAGAGCTGTTGAGTGCTCCATTCCTGTTGGTCTGGAGCCTTCCCAACTGTTTGTTTTCAGTGCTGTAAGATTCTTGGGTATGGAGAATTGTAATTTTCTCTCTACCTGGTCCTTTCTCTGAGACTGGGGCTAGTGAGTTAGGAGTTGGAGGGAGACAAAGGATTTTAAGACTCACAATGAGGAGAATTGAAGAAAGGTTAGATTTTATATTTTCTTCTCTGATCAGCTTGAAATGATACCTATAATTTGGGTTTGAGCACTCATAGTTTTTATATTATTTATGTGATTCTGTTATTATGAACTTCATCTTGAATAATAATTTATAATTCATTATAGATCATGCCCCACCATGTTAAGAAAAAGGCCCAGCTTTCCCAAGAAGTACATTTATTTATAGCTATTTAATTGTGACATTGATCTCTGTGTAAAGATTGCAAAAGCATAAAAACTGTATTAAGAGGAACTTTATTTGAAATTATCAGTGGTTATGAAGTTTTGCATTTGATAAATTTCAACATCTTCTCTGGTAAGAAATATTAGCAAATTGGGGCAGAAAAATTCTCTCTTTATTTAATACTATAAAGCATAGCTACTATAAAACTATACTAAACACTATGTGTACTAGAGAAATATCAAAATAGATCCTCAAATTTGGAAAAAAGACAATGAGATCAGCTGTCATTGTTTTCATGCAACATTGTGGTGAAGATCTTGATCATTACAATAAGGAATGAAAAAGAAATATGTGATGATTTGAAATAGAGAGGAGACTATCTAGAAAGTCCTAGAAGCTCAAGGGAAATAACCAGCAGAAAGAGCAAAATAGTTCAATAAGGTAGTCAATATGTGGTATCCAGGGTGTATAACTAGGAAATATAAAGAAAAGATCCCTGGCCGGCGCCGCGGCTCAATAGGCTAATCCTCCACCTAGCAGCGCCGGCACACCGGGTTCTAGTCCTGGTCGGGGTGCCGGATTCTTTCCCGGTTGCCCCTCTTCCAGGCCAGCTCTCTGCTGTGGCCTGGGAAGGCAGTGGAGGATGGCCCAAGTGCTTGGGCCCTGCACCCCATGGGAGACCAGGAGAAGCACCTGGCTCCTGCCTTCGGATCGGCGCAGTGCGCCGGCCACAGCGCACCAGCTGTGGTGGCCATTGGAGGGTGAACCAACAGCAAAAGGAAGACCTTTCTCTCTGTCTCTCTCACTATCCACTCTACCTGTCAAAAAAAAAAAAAATCCCTTTCTCAGAAGCAACAGAAGCTGTAAAGTACTTAAGAACAATAACAAATGAGTAAGACCTTTATAAGCAAAGTTGTATTTAATTAAAGGACATGCTAGAAATCCTGAAAAAATTGAGACTTGTATTGTGTTCTTTGATGGGAAGATTGAGCATTGAAAATTCTCCCTAGATAAACCTGTTAGTTTGTAGAAATCACAGTCAAAAGTAAGAAGCAGAAGTAGGTGTTTGGTGTAGCAGTTGAGATGCCAGTTAAGGCACTCAAGCCCCAAACTGAAGTCCCTGGGTTCAATTTCCAGCTCCATCTCCTGATCCTAGCTTCCTGCTAGTACAGACCCTGGGAGGCAGCAGGTGAAGGCTCAAGTAATCAATTCATGTCCCCAACATGGGAGACCTGAATTGATTTCATGGTTCCTGGCTTCAGCCCAGCCCAGCCCTGGCCAGTGGAGAGTGAACCAGAAGACTAGAGTGGTATCTCTCTCTCGATCTCCCCACCCTCATCCCTTGTCTTTCTGTCTCTCAAACAAATGAATAAAAGCTAGAGATTGAAAAAACCATTCTGGTTGCAGAGGGAAAGGGATTTCGGCTTATAAAAGCTATACCCAAACCTCCAGACCTTGGGAGTCATGATAGTGCTACCCCTTCAAAGGAACCCAGCCCAGCTGCAGTTGCACCTGTTGTGGACCCTCACCACAGCAAACTGCTGGGCCTACCAGGGATGCCAAAAGGCAGCAAGATGCCTTCAGCAGCATAAGATCCAAATCTCTTCTGCTGACTTGATTAAAGCTCAGTGGAGCCACGAGCATCAGACACGAACTCCAATTCCCATCTATCACAGGAGTGGAAAGGAGGAAAACATTGCTCTCTTGATAGGCAGTCAGGATATTTTATTTGAATAAGTTTTAAATGTATGACCTTATTTTATCTCCAAAGCTGGTGAAGTAGATAAAACCATTTTGTAAATATATTAATAAGAATTAATTTGCTAATTTTCTCTTTTCCTCCAGAAATTATTCCCTGTATTTAGAAACAACACATGAATCTTTACCAGTTTCATGCTTTTCATTAGATTCATGAGATCTTTCAGAACATGCAACATGTGTCCTTCTTCTAGAAGCAGTCAGATGCTAAATAAATTTTAAAATGTAAAATATCCAAAAACAGAGTCCAAAAGGATGGCCCAAGAGTATTGATGGAATCAGTTATCATATTTATTCATCCCTGATTATGATTGTTTTGAAAAGTCCAGGAGAACAGAGTAGATGCCAGGAAACCAGAAAAATGCAGCTCTGGTGCAAATCTTCAAAGACTGAAGTTGAGCAGTCCTTTCAAATTACTCTCCCTCACTGACAGTTTAGAAGATTTGGCAATAATTGTATAAAGCTGAAATGTAAAACGAGCAATGCACAAGAAGTTTTAACAAAGCAATTTGAACTTGAATATGTATCTGTAATGAAGGGATAAAGCCACTGGTCCACAGATGGTCACTATACTTTGCTCAAATGTATTGCCTGCCAGGACCCCACACAACTTCATTTATCAAATTCTTTAAGCTTGAAAGAGCAGTTGTGATGATTCCAGTTTACCCTAGCCCTGAACATGCTGAAGAACATGGAGATCAAAAATGAGGAGATATATATATATATATATATTCCAAAGCAGCAATGCCAGATAGTTTGGTGAGATTTGATATCATTTTGAGTGATCAGGAGAGAGAAGCTAGAAGACCCTATAATCTAGAAGAAGCTCCTATAGAGTTAGCACCAAAAAGTCCAGCAAAGATCTAAGAAGTGATGCTGACAAGAAAGTAGGAAATGAAACCAAAGAAAAAAGTTGAAATTGAGTCATTGGAGAAAACAATTTGGAAACCCAGGGTTTGTCGCTCCCCCTCTTCGTGGAGGAACGACACAGGACCCTGCGCTGTTCTTTCGTCTGCTCGGCCCTCCCCGGGTTTGCTGCTGGTTCTTCCCGGGTTGGCTACTATCCCTTCCACCTCCGTGGAAGGGCAGTTCCCCCTGGCCACATTCCCCACTTCCGCAGGGGAGCGGCACACCGCCGGCCGGCTTTCTCGGGGGCTGCACGGGTGTTCCTTCAGCTAGATGTTCCCCATAGATGTTCCTCGTGAATGCCGTCTCTCTCCTCCTTTATAGTCCTCCTCCGCCAATCCCAACTCGGCTGCCCACACGCCGAGTACGCTGCTCTCCAATCAGGAGCAAGTCCTACAGTTAATTGGTTGAACTGGAGGCAGCTGTGCGGAAGCTGTTTACTTCTCTCCCAGCGCCATATTGTGGGAGAGCAGATGCATAGAATAAGTCTTAATTCCAGTAACTTAGTCTAGTCCGAGCTGCTCCCCACAGAGGAGAGCAGATGCATAGAATAAGTCTTAATTCCAGTAACTTAGTCTAGTCCGAGCTGCTCCCCACAGATCCCCCTTTCTTTTTATTTTTTTGGCGTTGATACGCGCCTGTCTTCGGTGTCCCGCAGCACACACTCTGCTCTACTTGCTAGAGTTGCCACAGGCTCTTACAAGTCCTATCCATCAGGCAAACCGAATCCGGGTCCTCTCTTCGCCATGTTGTGAGGAGGTTTTTAGGCGCTGATGCGTGCCTGTGTTCGGTGCCCTGCAGCGCATGCTTTGCTCTGCCTGCAGGGGCTTACAAGCTCTATCAGGCAAACCGAATCCAAGCCTTCTCATTGCCTTATTGTGGGGGAGACTTATTAGTGTTGGTTCGTGCCTATCTTCGGTGACCTGCAGCTCATACTCTGGTCGAGCTGCTTGCTGGCGCTTACCGCCTTAAATCAGGCAGACCGAATCCAAGCTTAATATTGTTGTATTGTGGGGAAGCCTTACTGATGTTAATTCGTGCCTGTCTTCGGTGACCTGCGGCGCATAAGCTGCTAGCTGCCCGCAGGTGCTCATCGCCTCACTTGATTAGGCAGACCGAATCCAAGCTCTCACATTGCAGTGTTGTAGGGAGGCCTTTTTATTTCTCTATTTCTCTATCTCCGGGCATTCCTATTTCTCCCATTTTACTTCTATCTTCCAGCATTCCTATTTTTCTCACTTTACTTCTAAACTTCTGTTTCTCTTATCCCTGCGGCTTTCCGGCACCTCGCCCCGCCGGCGGGTTCCCGGCTCTGCGCCGCTTCAGCCCGCGCGCCTCTCTCATCTGCGCAGCTTCCCGGCTTTGCGCGGCTCGGCTTCGCGCGCTCCGCGGTCTCCACGCTTAACCCTTTCGCGTCTGAACCACGGCCTACGCCAGCCCCACGTTCCCTATTTATTCACGCCCCGTGCTCTCTCTGCACGCGGCGGCTTCCGCGAATGTTTCCGCCACCACCGGCATTCAGTCCAAGTTCCCCGGACTAACCTGGCGAATCCTGGCGGCCCATGTCTCTGCCTCTGGTTCCAGATCTTCGCCTCTTGCTCCCCGGGGTGACTTGAAGAATTCCAAGGTGGCTTATATCTCCGCCTCGGCCTGCACTCGCGGCTTCATCCTCCCTAACATTTTTCTCTACCCGGTATGTTTCCTTAAGTTTTCTTCCAACAATATTCCTCTCATTTCTCCTGGCTTCTCCCCACAGTCCGTATCCGAGTCCAAGCCTCCTCCAGGTTTCACTTTCGCTTTCAATCTCCTAGCTTCCCCGCCATAGTCCGCATCCGAGTCTATGAAAGCTTTCACTTTCGCTTTCAATCCTAACTTCTTTCCCACAGTCCATATCCGAGTCTATGCCTAGGCTTTCAATAGCTTCTTCCGGCACCTAGGCTCTTTGCTAGTCTCTCTCTCCGGTATTTTCCCATTTCTTTCCTCCTAAGTTTCCTATCCGAGTCAGGTTTCCTATCCGTTCTAGGTTTTCTATCCGAGTCACTTCTTCCAAGTTTCATATACGTCCTAGGTTTCCTATCCGAGTCACGGCACCATTATGTCGCTCCCCGTCTTCGTGGAGGAACGACACTAAGCCCTGCCTAGGCTTCATATCCGAGTCACGGCACCATTATGTCGCTCCCCCTCTTCGTGGGGGAACGACACTAAACCCTGCGCTGTTCTTTCGTCTGCTCGGCCCTCCCCGGGTTTGCTGCTGGTTCTTCCCGGGTTGGCTACTATCCCTTCCACCTCCGTGGAAGGGCAGTTCCCCCTGGCCACATTCCCCACTTCCGCAGGGGAGCGGCACACCGCCGGCCGGCTTTCTCGGGGGCTGCACGGGTGTTCCTTCAGCTAGATGTTCCCCATAGATGTTCCTCGTGAATGCCGTCTCTCTCCTCCTTTATAGTCCTCCTCCGCCAATCCCAACTCGGCTGCCCACACGCCGAGTACGCTGCTCTCCAATCAGGAGCAAGTCCTACAGTTAATTGGTTGAACTGGAGGCAGCTGTGCGGAAGCTGTTTACTTCTCTCCCAGCGCCATATTGTGGGAGAGCAGATGCATAGAATAAGTCTTAATTCCAGTAACTCAGTCTAGTCCGAGCTGCTCCCCACAGAGGAGAGCAGATGCATAGAATAAGTCTTAATTCCAGTAACTTAGTCTAGTCCGAGCTGCTCCCCACAAGGGTTGACTGTCATCTGGAAAACCACAGTGACGTATGTGATGTCATGAGGATAGTGACAGCAAATTATATATGTCATCAGTGCATGTCTTCCCGAACTGCCTGCCTGTCTCATGGAATCCTTGAAGTTCTGTCACCCAGGCATGGCAACATGAGGTCATGTTATTCCAGGCTTATGAATATCCAACTCTCCCCTTTCACTGTCCCTGCAGTTCTTCCACTCTGTCCTGCAATTGAGTCCAGACTGTCGAGTTCATGTAGGATTCAACTGTGGTCCTCTCCTACTGCTGAGAAACCTTAGAAGGTAAGGCTCTCCCTTGTCCAAATGTTCAAACACAGTAGTTTTTGGGGTCAGACTGGGATTCTTGCAAGCAGCCAGGGACTTTTCTCCCTACTCTCTTCCTCTTGATCATCAGAATAGAGATTTGAAAAAACAGAACCATTTTCCCCCAGATAATCTTCTCTCAGAAATCACATTCACGTCTGGGTTTGCCTTTCATTTTTGTACCAAGGACTTTATGAAGTGGAAATGGCTGAACTCATCATCCGGCAGGGCTCTCAGTTGCAGACCGCCAGTTCCCAAACCCCCAAGGTGTGAGGGCTGGGCTCTCCCCAGCTCATTCTTTTCAATAAACATTCCCACACTTGGCCTTTTCCTCGAGCCGCCCTGTCCCTGCCCTCCCAGCGCCTGCAGCTTTCCACCTTGGCTCTGGCTCCTCCAAGCCTGGGCTCAGCCTTCCAATTCCAGGTTGACCTTGGCTGGGCGCCCCATATGGTCATTCTTCTGGTAAAAGTAGAAAATCTTAGGCACAGATTTCTGCACTTGGCTTTTTTGCAGAACGTTTCAGTATCGAGGCCCGTGCAAACTCCAGCTGACACTGAGTCACAGAAGAGCACTTGCCTATCAGAAGTCTGTGTTCATGGAACTGGATTTGGCCTTTGTTGTACCAGCTGCTGTGTCCATGATGAGAAAAGCTGGAGCTCAGCCGGGCCTCCAGTCTCCCCTGGGCTTGTCTTGCTTAGCATCTGTGGGCATGTAGGGCTCTCCGTGGTGTCCTTAGTACACACTGCACCTCTTCCAGTGGACAAAACTCTCATAGGTATTCTTTGCCATCATTGTGCTCCTAGACATTGGGTCCAGGATAGCCATGAGATACCTGTTTAGCTTTGTGTTTGGCTATTTGAAATAACTAATTCAGTCAGTCAAATCAGATACCATGGGTAAGGAACCATAACATGAGAAAAAAATCAGAGAAACAGTCATGGTAGGAATATGTAGATCTCTGGTTTCTTCCTTGTTTTTTACCATATGGCTAAAATCCTCCCTTACACCAGGGGGTAGCAGGTGATACCTACCTGTTCAAGAGAAAGGTAGGTGGGGAGTTGGGAAACACTCCAGTTTCTGACATCAGATAGACCTGCAATTAAAGAGTGCTCTGTAAAGTTCCAACTGAGTGTATCAAAAATCCTTGGGTCTCAGTTCCCTCCTTAGTAAAACAGGTACCACAGTTCTCATCCTATGAGGGAGTTGGGAGGATAAACAAGATGATGTCTGATAGTCCTTATCCCATTTTCTGCTACCAGCAAACCCTTAGTCCTAATCAAGATTTCCCCAGACCCTTGATTCTCATGACCTCCCTCAAAATGGAATGAATTACATGTTTTATCCAACACTTCTCTTTCTCTACTATGAACTATATGGCTGTCCAATTTTTCTTCCTGATCCAATCAATCGTTTGTGGGCTACTGCCTGTGTTTCAGTGTGACATGTTGTGTATCTACAAGTTAAGCATTTTAGACCAATTTCATGAAGAATCTGGAGACACTGGAATTTTTTAAGAATAAATTCTCCTTTTGATTCCTTGGCCATCCTTGTCATTAGTATCCGGGATGGCAGATATATGTTGCACAGGTTGCCAGCACACCCTCCTGAATCTACAGCAGACATTATTAATTGATAGCAGCACATTTCCCAACTGCAGTGACAGGGTCTCAGAGTCCTTTTGAACACATCATACCAGGAACCATTCTCATTTGATTAGAGCAGACCTTGATGGGAGAAACTCATTAGTCATTGCCCTACACCATTTTTCTTGTTACTTCTCTTGGACTTGTGAATGTGTTAAAATGATCCTTGTAATCATCTGTGCTTCTCTTGTCTTCCCCAATTAGAGTGACTATACAAATGTCATTTTTAAAGATTCTGCCACTGACCACTTGTCTCGAAGAAGACAAACGTAGGGCCAGTAGCACTTGCCATGCAGGTATAACCAGGATCTTTCGTTGTAGGTTATGTAATAAAACTATACTTTATTATGCTTTTTCTTCTTCTATTAATCCTCATCATTTCTCATGACATTAAATACATATTCTTTTATAACGTGATATTAGTGACTGTGCAAAAAGTCTATCAAACTGATATACCTCTGCCTATTTAACAGGGTCCCTGGTGTTGGTCTGGGTGGCTCCCAGGGCCTGGCTATGATAAATAACCCTATGATAAATTTTGTTGTGCCTTCATGTGTTTCTTTCTGCACCTCCAATTATTCTCTTAGGATGGATTTCTAGAAATTGGAATCAGAGAATAAAATGGTAAAAATAACTTTAGGCCGGCGCCGCGGCTCACTAGGCTAATCCTCCGCCTGTGGTGCCGGCACACCGGGTTCTAGTCCCGGTCGGGGCGCCGGATTCTGTCCCGGTTGCCCCTCTTCCAGGCCGGCTCTCTGCTGTGGCCCAAAAAGGCAGTGGAGGATGGCCCAAGTGCTTGGGCCCTGCACCCCATGGGAGACCAGGAAAAGCACCTGGCTCCTGGCTTCGGATCAGCATGATGCGCCGGTGCACTGCGCCGGCCGCGGCAGCCATTGGAGGGTGAACCAACGGCAAAGGAAGACCTTTCTCTCTGTCTCTCTCTCACTGTCTACTCTGCCTGTCAAAAATAAATAAATAAATAAATAACTTTAAAGATCTCGCTGCACATTGCCTTTCTGTTTTCCGAAAATGTTGAGACAAATTACACTCCCATTATTAAAGTGATAATAATACTTACCCTTATGGGTCGCATTTTTTGTGTCTGATACTGTTCTCTTTTTTAAAAAAATATTTTTTAAAGATTTTATTTATATATTTGAAAGGCAGAGTTACAGAGAGGCGGAGGCAGAGAGAGGTCTTCCATCTGCTAGTTCACACCCCAGATAGCCACAATGGCTGGAGCTGGACCTATCCGAAGCCAGGAGCCAGGAGCTTCTACCAGGTCCCCCACATAGGTGCAGGGGCCAAGGACTTGGGCCATTTTCTACTGCTTTCCCAGGCCATAACAGACAGCTGGATTGGAAGTGGAGTAGCTAGTCCATCCTTCTGTCTCTAGATAAGACTATGGTGAAATCATACTAGCAATATAGATTTTTTTTAAATGGACTAAATAGAAAAGTCCAGTTGTATTCAAGGTGATCGAAGCCACAATGAAACATTTTCGAACAATAAGTGAATGCATTCCCTTCAGTTCTAGACTTCGCCACAACCAGCTGTGTGACTTTGGGCAATGTATTTAGCTTTAGTTTCCTCAGCAATAAAATTAGGGTCTGGTGAGGATTAAATGACTTAACGTATGTAAAGCTCTTAGAACAGTATCTGGGGGCCAGCGCTGTGGCGTAGCGGGAAGGCGGCATACCATATGGGTGCCGGTTTGTATCCCAGATGCTCTACTTCTTTTTGTTGTTGTTGTTGAAAGTACAAAGAAATATTGGGGGCCAGCGCCTGGGCTCACTTGGCTAATCCTCCACCTGCAGCACCAGCATCCCATATGGGCATTGGGTTCTAGTCCCAGCTGCTCCTCTTCCAGTGCAGCTCTCTGCTGTGGCCCAGGAAGGCAGTGGAGGATGGCCCAAGTGCTTAGGCCCCTGCACCCACATGGGAGACCAGGAGGAAGCACCTGGCTCCTGGCTTTGAATCAGCGCAGCACCAGCCATAGCAGCCATTTGTGGGGTGAACCAATGGAAGGAAGACATTTCTCTCTGTCTCTCTCTCATTGTCCATAACTCTACCTGTCAAATAAATAAATTAAAAAAAAAAAAAAAGACCTTCCTGGGCCACCTTTAAAAAAAAGAAATATTAAAGAAAAATTAAATAAATTAAGCATCATTCCATGTCCCCTCTACACTACCATATCAATTTGTTTTGCATATCACCTTCCACATGCATACTTTACAAAGTCGCAATCATAGTGTGCATATTATTTTGTAATGTGCTTACTTTACTTACCATATCCTGGATACATCCATGTGTCTACAGTCTTCCAAGTAATTACTTTAGTGGAAGTGTAACACTTCCCTACTTTATTAGCCCACTTTATTCTCTGACATGTAATTTTTTTCCAACTTTTCACTATTATAAATAATATAGACGTAAACGCATCCATGCATTTACTTTTTTATGCACTATTCTTCAGGTTAAAAATATAGGAGCAGAATTTATGGAGCAAAGGAAACAGTCATTTTTATGGCCCTTGCTATGTAGTACCATATTATATCACCAAAGGGTATATTTAATTTATTTTTTTTAATTTTTATTTTATTTTTTTTATTTGACAGAGTTAGTGAGAGACAGAGAGAAAGGTCTTCCTTCCATTGGTTCACCCCTCAAATGGCCGCCATGGTCTGCGCTGCACCAATCCGAAGCCAGGAGCCAGGTGCTTCTCCTGGTCTCCCACATGGGTGCATGTGCCCAAACACTTGGGCCATCCTCCACTGCCTTCCCGGGCCACAGCAGAGAGCTGGACTGGAAGAAGAGCAGCTGGGACTAGAACCTGGCGCCCATATGGGATGCCACAGCCAGAGGTGGCCTGAGTGGCTTCTGCCTATGGTCCAGAAACGCCTTTGTCCAGTTCCCTCAGTGTGCCTACATGATGACTTTCCACGTGTGCTGTAACTAGGGAAAAGTTGGGAAGCATTACTCACCTAAATTTTCAGTTTTCTGGAAGATATCTACTCCAAACTCTTCATTTTTTCAAAAAAAGGTAATAATTATTTTTAATTTTAAATATTCAAATTTAAAAGTACCTAACCCTTCTGATTAAAAACAAACAAACAAACAAACAAAAACTTTTAGAAAGAAACTGTTCTGGGGCTGGCACCATGGAGCACTAGGTTAATCTTACACCTGCAGCACCGGCATCCCATATGAGCACCAGGTTCTAGTCCCGGTTGCTCCTCTTCCAGTCCAGCTCTCTGCTGTGGCCCAGGAGGGCAGTGGAGGATGGACCAAGTGCTTGGGCCCCTGCACCCGCATGGGAGACCAGGAAGAGGCACCTGGCTTCGGATCTGTGTAGCTCCAGCTGTTGTAGCCATTTTGGGGGGTGAGCCATTGGAAGGAAGACCTTTCTCTGTCTGTCTCTCTCACTGTCTGTAATTCTACCTGTCAAATAAATAAATAAAAAATCTTAATTATCTACATACCAGAAAAAAAAATCTTAAAAAAAAAATGCAGAGAAGCAAAAGAATTTTTTTTTTTTAAAAAAGAAAGAAACTGTTCTACTTCCGATTCAGCTCTCTGCTATGGCCTGAGAAAGCAGTAGAAGATGGCCCAAGTCCTTGGGCACCTGCACTCATGTGAGAGACCCAGAAGAAGCTCCTGGCTCCTGGCTTCAGATTGGCAAAGCTCATGCCATTGTGGCCATCTGGGGAGTGAACCAGTGGATGGAAGACCTTTCTCTCTCTCTCTGCCTCTTCTCTCTCTGTGTAACTCTGACTTTCAAATAAATAAATCTTAAAAAAAAAAAAAAAGAAAGAAAAAAGGCAGAGAGAGAGAGAGCAAGTGAGCCCATCTTACTTTTGTTCAAGTCAAATGACCACAGCAGCAAGGCTGAAGCTGTGAGCCAGGAACTCAACATCCGGGTCTCTCATGTAAGGAGCAGGGATCCAAACACTTGCTGTTTCCTCTTAATGCCTTCCTGCATGTTAGAAGAAAGCCAGAATCAGGAGTGAGTAGAGTGGGGACTGGGACCCAGATACTTCAGTATGGGATGGGGTTAACCCAAATGATATCCTAAGTGCTATACCAAACACCCACCCTAGAATTGGTTATTTCTGAACTCTACTCTTGGAATCAACTATAAAGATTTTACCTCTAACAAAAGAGAAATTCATTCAAAGCAGCCCTAAATAGGTCACCTAGGATGACAACACTATCTTAAGATTATTGCAAACAACAGTTCTAGCTTTTCCCTTAAGTTAAATAGAGAGGCTAGGAAGAAAGAGATAGAGAGGTTGGAGAATGGCCACCAAACAACAGGTAGGAAGGAGAAATTAGCTCTAACGTTGCAAGAAACAGGAGAGTAAATATAGTCTAAGAATGCATTATGTATTTCAAATTGAATAGAAAAGTAAACTCTGAGGATACCTGGTGCATCAGAATGATAAATATTTGAGGAGATGAAAATACTAATTACTTTGATTTGATTGTTATGTATTATCATACTGTACCCTATAAACATGCACAAATATTGTGTCAACACTTTTTAAATAAACAAAAAAGTATTATTAATGCTAATCTCAGCTGTTGGAGGGGACTGTGTTTGAAGTTGTTTCTACCTATTCCTAAAGCTTAGTTTCCCAAGTCATGGGATTTTCTAGTTCTTAACTAGCAACGCAACTATCTCCTTTCTTTTGTATCTAAGGCAGTTGGTTGGTTTCCTTAATAAAAAAGCTTCACTTTTGTTAGTAAAAATTAGGAAATTTCTCAAAATTAGCGGATGGTCTACAGAAGAAGGGGTTGTTAAATTTAGCAAATAAAATTTAGAACATCCAAACTAAATGATAATTTTTTTGCTTTTAGTATGTCACTCTCAATATATATATATATATATATATTTATCCCCCAAATATGACTGCTTGTTTATCTGAAATGCAAATTTAACTGAGAGCTTTATAGTTTGCTGGCACCACTGAGAGCTTTATAGTTTGCTGGGAGGAGGTAGGTGATGAACACTGAAAAGGACCAAGGCAGAAAGAGAAGGAGAAGGATTTTTTTAAAAGTTAATTAAAAACAAAGGAAGCACAGTGTTTGCAATTGGGATTTAATGATATCGAGGATTTTTCTCTCTCTTTAAAAAAATCTTGAAGTAGGTATTTAGTATGGTGATTAAGATGTGGCTTAGGATGCTATACTCATGTGATGGAGTACCTGGATTTTAATCATGCCTGTTTCTTGCTTATATGCACAATGGGAGGCAGTAGGTGATAAATCAAGTACCCGGGTCCCTACCACCCACATGGGATACCTGAATTGAGTTCCCAGCTCCTGGCTGTTGTGGGCATTTGGGGAGTGAAGCTGTGGATAAAAAGATCTTTCTCTCTCTCTGTTTTCCAAATACATTTTTAAAAATTAAAAATTATCTTTATTTTTAATTATTCATTTAATTAAAATAGTACTATGTCTATATTTTTTAAATGTGCTAATCATAGGAAAAATTTAGAATGTAGAAAAATGTCAAAATGCCAACAAATCAGTCACAATCCCATGCCCTAGAGAAAAGTCACTGTGAATATTTCTCTGGCTTTTCTTTACATGTGTGTATATGCATAATTGGGATAAAAATAAACATGTAGCTTTTATCAATACACTCGGAGCCTTTCTCCATGTTGTTAAACATTGTTTTGCGGTAGTGACTGAGTAACAACTCATCGTTTAGACACACCAAGGTTCACCTGATCAGGCCCCTGATAAATGTTTAGGGCGCTAGCAGATTTTCACTCCTCAGTTATGTTCTGTTGCTCACCTTTCTATTCCTCTGTGCATTTCTGATGCTTGGGACACAAACCTGGAAGCGTAACTGTGGCAGTGGTATGAGGTGTTCCTCCCTGGAATCTTTGTTCTCCCAGGGCTCTCTGGAGGGGTCCTCTGGCTATCCGGGGCAGTCACTGTCATCAGTGAGTGGAAAACCTGATGGTTCTTCTTGTGTTTGCTTTCTTGTCCCAAAGATGTGCTGTTTCAAACTCACTTGGATTTCCAGGCTGGCATACTTGGGTTCCTGGCTATAGTGCCTGGTACCCAGATCCCCAATATCGCACTGGAAAATCTATTCTTGACTCTAACCTCAGCCACAGGAACCTCGTACTCCCTACCCGACTGCCCCTCTGCCTCGGCCCCAGCAGTGAGATTTACAACTTCCTCTCCCTGCTTTCGAGATGCTCCTCTGCGGGGGGGCTCTGTCAGCTCTGGAGCCGTGGGTGGTGACTCTGAGGACTTTGAGTGGGAAAGTCCAGTGGTGCAGAGCTGGTGCGTGGCAGGGAGTGGGAGGAGAGCTCTGCTGATGTGAGCACCATACTCAGCCTTGTCCTCTGCATCCCAGGAGTGAACCCTGCGCCTCATTGCATAGCTGCCACCTGATGCTCCAGACAGCTGGCCTTGACCTCACCCCACGCCGCACTGAGATGGCAGGACGCAGGAGGGCAACCTCACGTTTTGTTCTCCTCTCTCCTTGCTTAGTAGACAGAGAGCACTGTGCAGGTTCTGAAGGCTTTGAACCTCTAAGGTGAGCAGGAAGCAGGCAAGGCAGGGACGCCTTTCTCCTCCTGCCGTCTCCTTCGCTTTTTCTTAGACCCCTCAAGATGGAGAAGCTACCTGGGGCATAATAGTGGGGCTCTGGAGACTGGAAGACTAGACAGGACAAAATCCAGACTTCAGTTGTCTTCTGGGTATTTCCTCATAGGAGTGGATGGGATGTGTGGGAATGAGAAGGTAAGAGAAATTGGGGCCCGGGCTGTGGGCACAGGGGGCCTTGCCATGAGGGCTGGGGTCAGAGATCAGCATTTCTTTGCAGTTCCTCTACTCTGTGCTGTTCTCTGTCAGTCCTAGTGGGTGGGATTTTAGGGGAAGGTGTCCCGATAGTCAAAGGGTGTGCAACGAAGAGGGTGAGGCGAGAACAGTGATGAGGGATGGGAACTTCAGACTTTTGCAGTCTGGGAGGAGAGGAAGTTCTCAGTGGGAAGATGGCTGAGGTCATGGTCATGATCACTGTTACTGTATAAGGGATTGGTAGGAAGACACTGCCGGTCTACCTGGGAGGGTAGAAAGGATCTGACACTAACTGAGAAGTGTTATCCGCAACAGGCTTGAGGCAGATGACAATAATGAAAACAAAGATGTGACCAGTTTTGCCTGTGCCAGTGTCAGGAGTCTTTCCACACCCTCCTCCTCACAGCTCTGCGCAGTGGGCATGGTTATTTTTCCTTGCATATGAGAAAGTGGAGGCTCAGAGATGTAGATGTGCTTGCCTCAGCCCCTGGCAAGTTAAGTATAACAGTAGATTCCTCCGGAGATGGATCCTCTGCTGCGTTCCATTCAATAGCTCCTCAGAAAACACCCCACCCTTATTTTCCCAAGCTTGCAGCCCAGTGGTGTTTCTAGAAGAAATAAAATGACAATTTGAAAATACAAAACCCCTTGTTATTTCCTCTTCTTTCCTGCACTGAGTCCATCATGTTAGACATCAAAACTCCTCACAATTGAGTCTTGTCATCTGTTTTTCTCAGTGGGGCCAGTAGCTTGCCTAAAGAGGCCC